CCATATTAGTATTGCTGGTAGCTGGAATGGGTTGGGCAGGCTAGTCTCCAGTCCCACAGCCACTCATAGCAGGGCAGTGGGTATTGTCCTAAGTGTGCTTAGGAGAGCTTTGTCTCCCCCATCTTTCCCCAGCCAGGTGGTGGCTGCAGTCATATGGCTCTTTCTAAGGGAAGGGAGTAGCCCTGCATTTAAACTCTAAAAATGGCACTGGCTGTGGCCTGCAGCCAGAGAGAGTGGGGCCCCTCTCCAGCAAGCAGCATGAGCAAGAAGCTTTGAGGAGTGCAGTCCACTCATGTCTTGGTCTCACAGCAGCCCACTGAGGGCAGCAAGTATTGTCCTAGGTATGTGTAGAAGAGTCTGGTTTCCTTGTCTTTCCTCAGCCTGGTGGTGGCTGTAGCCACATCAGCCCAAACTCAGCCAGAGGGTCGGGTGCAGCCCAGCATTAAACTCTCAAAATGGCATCCTGCCCAGGCTATTTGCCTGGGCAAGAACTTGTAGGGTGTGGTCTGCTCACACCTCAGTGTCAACCCCAGCCCACAGCAGGGCAGTGGGGACCTTCTCAGGGGTGCAGGGGAGCACCTGGTCTCCCTTCTCCCTCGACAGACTAGTGCAGCAGCAGCAGCAGCCATGTCTGTAGATTCTCAGTATCTAGGCTATCAGAATGATGCCCAGCGGAAGCTGCTCTAGGCTTGGATGCCTGTGGGAGTCCATGTGTATTGCCTTTCTGGAACAGTGTCTCTGTACAATCTCTAGGCAGCTCCCTATGTTAGTCCCGAGGCTTGCATGGGTTGAGGGGTTCTCCTGTAGCCAAGATTGTAAAAGCCCATTTAGGAGTGTGAAGCCCTGGGGGTTTCTCTCCTACTGTTTCCCCAAATTCAGGAGTAAGGGAGAGCTTCTCCTGGCTCTCAGCCTGTCCCCAGCTGGGCAAGCTGCCTTGAACCCTCTCCTTACTCACTTTTGTTGCTTCCCATCACTTCTCTGCTGAATCCCAGTGTTCTTTGCTTGATGGTCTGTTCAAAATGTGAGCATCTGCTTTCCGTTCCAGTGGTATTCGCCTCTCTGTGAATGAGGCGAATACCACCTGGGTCTAGTCAACTGCCTTGATCTGCAAAGCATTTGGAAAAGTGTATGGCACATAGTAAGCATTCAGTAAATGTTGGATATTATTGCTATAATTATTATGTTATTGTTTTTGTTATGTAACCTCACTTTGAACAAAGGTAGGGAAAGACTTGAGAAATTCACTGTCAACCTCAAATTATTCTGTATTAGAAATTCAGAGGGAAAACTAACATCTATCCTAGGAAGTTTAACTCAAAAGAAGTAACAAATGGTAATAAATAAATGTCAATTAGAAAATAATTGATATTGGATTGCAGGAAAGATTGTGGATTGAATTCTAATCACTAGGTCAGTGTTTCCAGAAATTGATGATATAAATCACCTGAGTGTTCAATTAAAAATGGTGCCTTGTGAGACAATAAAAAGATCAGTGGTTGCTGGGGTTAGTGGGGACAGAGCGATGAATAGGCAGACACAGAGGATATTTAGGGCTGTAAAACTATTCTGTACATACTCCAATGGTGAGTACATGGATAGATATCATTATACATTTAACCAAACCCATGGAATGTACAACACCAAGAGTAAGCCCTTATGTAAACTATGAACTTTGGTTTGTAGGTTCACCAATTGTTAATAAATGTACCACTCTGTTGCAGGCTGTTGTTAGTGAGGAGACCAATAGAGGATAAAGGAAGAGGTATACTGTATTTTCTGCTCAATTTTGCTATGAACTTAAAACTGTTCTAAAGAATAAAGCCTATTTTTAAGTCAATTTAAAAAGTTAAAAATTAAGAAGAGTCCCCAACCTCATCTCATACCTACTAAAGGAGCCATAGAATCATTTTTTATTATTTGTATAAATGTGTGGGATTCAAGTGTAATTTTATTGCATGGATATATCACATGGTGATAAAGTCAGGGCTTTTAGTGTATCCAACACTGGAATACTATATATTGTACCCTAAATCTTTATTTATAACAAGGGAAGAGGCAATTTTCATGCTCAAGCAAGTTCAGGAAAATGCACTGAGCAAAGGCCACCATTTCTTTGAAACCCAAGGAGACCACACGCCCTGTTTGTACACTGGCTCTGTCGCTGACCTCACAGATTGTCATTCCATAAAAGGAAACACCTGCCTCCCCCAGCATCGGGTACTCCCCAGTTCCAACCTCTCGGGCTCTCATTTTCTACAGCCAATCAGTCCTGAATCCTGTGAACATTTGCTTTCAAATGTTTGTTTCTGCCTTTCTATTTTCCATCATAATAATCTTCCTCAAATACCCATGTCCCTAAAAGGCACTGCTGAACTCGCTCCATGGGCTTCCCGACCTGTTGGGGAATTCAGTGTAAATTGCTATCTGGTTCTACTCTCCTCCTTGGTCCTGGGTGTAGGACCTGCCCACTGACAGAACTGCTCTTGCCCCTGCACTCTGATTTTCCAGATTTTGTGGATGGCTTCTTTCAAAGGTGTGTTCTGGCTCACAGTGCCACCCCATTTCTCAAGATTCATTACCTGTTGTTTGTGTTGACCCTTAATTATGCATTTTCTTTCTTGTGGTTTTTCTGAACCCTTTGCACTCACTTGCTTTTGTCTCGATTCCTTTCCTCTACTCGGGATTTAATTTTTTAAATACCCCAGATTTTACAAAGCACGGCAGTAGAATAAAAAACTGGAGTTTCTTTTCATACAAACTTATTTATTTGGATTTTTTTATATTTCAAATTATTGATACATTCAAAGAGTAATTTTAATCTCTATAATTTTTCATGGTGTGATATTTTTTGAAACATTCACCCACATGAAGACCTGGTTTATATTCGCATGTTTCGCAAATATAAATCGTCTCTCTTCTTCCTTCTTTGATTATTCTGTTAGAACAAACAACACAATCTTTGTGTTTTTTTGTTAGGGTGAGGTGTGATTATATGGAGCTTTCAATCTAAATGTTGCTCTAAGTTAGTGGATAATAATCTACCCCTGGAAGTTAGTGTACCATCTCTGCATTTACATTTTACTTGTCCTTTCATGCTAATGAAAACAAGAAAAGATACTGGAAAAATAGACAAAAATCCTCCTTCCCCCCGTGGTGAAACTATACGTGCCGAGTGTGGCTTGACATACAAGCTGCTACTGATGCTAACCGTGTCAAGACACACTCGACATCCGAGTGCAAAGGGTTAAATATTTTCTGTTATGTTCTATTGGGATAGGTCCATTCAGGGGTCCTCAAACTATGGCCTGCTGAGGACATTTATGTGGCCCACCGGGTGTTTTTGCCGCCGTTGCCTGTTCTGCTTAGCAGCCGACTCATCCTAGGCCCACAGTGCGCATGTGTGGAATGTGCGCTGCACTCTCCATCGGCCCTACAATGGTCTGAGGACAGTGAACTGGCCCCCTGTTTAAAAAGTTTGAGGACCCCTGAGTAAGCCCCTAAAGGGCATGTAGTGTTAATAAATTCCTAATGAGTGGGTGAATTCATGGAATAGTACTATTTCTAGAGTGAAGTGCATATTCTCTTTTGAGAATGAGAACTCTACATAATCTTGCCCAGGAATTCTGAAGGTATCTGTGTGTTTAGAACATTAAAGACCAATTATAGGCTGGGCGCGGTGGCTCACGCCTGTGATCCTAGCACTCTGGGAGGCCGAGGCGGGCAGATTGCTCGAGGTCAGGAGTTCGAAACCACCCTGAGCAAGAGCGAGACCCCGTCTCTACTATAAATAGAAAAAAATTAATTGGCCAACTAATACATATAGAAAAAATTAGCCGGGCATGGTGGCGCATGCCTGTAGTCCCAGCTACTCCAGCTATTAGGGAGGCTGAGGCAGGAGGATCGCTTGAGCCCAGGAGTTTGAGGTTGCTGTGAGCTAGGCTGACACCATGGCACTCACTCTAGCCTGGGCAACAAAGCGAGACTCTGTCTCAAAACAAAAACAAGACCAATTCTAGACTTTTTCCTGTTTTTCTTACCTTTCCTCCACAATGACATACAATGAAATGAGCCTCTTGTTCTTTTGCTTTTACATTGCAAGTAAATTGCCCGTTCGATGAACCACATGTGGCTACATACAGTGACTACGGTGTCAGAAGCAGAGGTTGGAACGTAGAGTCTGACAAAGGATTTTGTGCTCTTTCTAACATCAAGAGGCTCCAGGTAGAGAGAGGGTCGTTTGGTGATCCCCAAAATTGCAATTTAAGAGCAACTTGACTAATTTGGAAAACCAAGAGGGGATATTAAAATTAGGGCTTTCTTGGAAAATCTAGAACAGGGGCCACCATGATCCTCCATGACTTACTCTGTGCTGGAATTATAGAGGATACAAAGGTTAGGGCATGGACTTCCCCTGCTGTTGAGGATTTTCCAGTGTTGCTGGGGAGATAGGCATTCCATAAAGGAAGATAATTATAAGGCATTTAATAAACAACACTAAAGAAAATAAAATCCAACAAGAATTTTCCCCTATAGAATATGCCAACACTGTAGATAATATTTCAGATCCTCGCCAACCTTTTGTAGAGGGGACTGCCACTTTCATTTTAGAGATAAGGAAGCACAGAGAAGATGAGCAATGTGTTCAAGGTCACACGGTTGGACGTCTGTGGAGAAGGGATTTAAATCCAGGTTCTGCTGGGGCTCGAAAGCCTGTGATCTTTCCATTCTGCTGTTGATCCATCCTTTTTCCTGTATCATAGCAGAGCTTCTAAGGTAATGGTAAAATTATAATTGTTCCTAATCCAAAATGTGTGCGAAAAACCAAGCCTGGTGCTATTGTGGCATTTTCTCCCTTTTCCAAAATTGTCTTTAAAACTGTTATAATATTTTTGTACATAAAAGAAGGAAACAGGTGGCGGTAAAGGCAGGATGTGTTACACTGAACCACCCACTGCTCTGCTGGATCTCACATAATTAAATCATTTCTTTTTTTCTTCAAGGCAATTACATGGAACTAGCAAGATGAATAAAAATAAACTGATTCATGATTTCCTGGAAGTAGTTTCAAGAGGTGATGTGGAACTCATCTGTGACCACATTGCAGAAGTCCATTCCATCCTCGGAAACCTTGACTTTCAGCACCCTAAGACGGGAAATACACCTCTTATTACTGCAGCAGAAGAAAATCTCACAGAGGTAACATGCTGTGTGCTGGGCCCAAGGATAAAAAGTCTTCCAAGCTAAGGATGCTGAGAATGAGATATCTGTGAATAGTGTTATCATCCATCCCCACGAGAGAATGTCTGAAGGCACAAAGTGGGGTATCATGTAGGGATACCCTAAATAATCTAGATAGGTGCCATCTTTATTCATTCCCTCAATCAGCAAACATTCCTGCTATACCAAAGGCAATAACTAGACTTCCTGGAGGATACAGAGGTGAGTCAAACACAGATGCCACGCTTGAGGAGCTAGTGGTCTACTGAGCCACCTAATGGAGCCCAAGGTTTTTCTTCCTTCCCCATTCCCCACTGCCAGCCCCATCAGTACCTGGAAATATATTCTCTGCTCTAACAAATGTACATAACACTGGAAGCAGGGAACTAGGAATAAATAAGCAAATAACAAGACCTAAAAGGGCGGAGGGTTTGTCCTCTTTGTTCTAATCATATCACCAGCTCCAAGCAGAGTACCTGACCCACCCAGGTGCTTAATAAATATTTATTAGATGGATAGACTAATGAATAAATAACCCATTTGGGTCTTAGTTGTCATTTATATCATTGTGTGTGGGAACTTAAAAGATCCTTTTTAAGAATGTAGGTGAAAGTGGTAACAATACAACACTTGGAACTGGGGAAGGCAGCAAAGAGGAGGCTTGGAGAAGAGAAAAGGGCTTGGAGGCCAGTCATGGTGGCTCATGCCTGTAATCCTAGCACTCTGGGAGGCCGAAGAGGGAGGATCACTTGAGCTCAGGAGTTTGAGACCAGCCTGAGCAAGACAGAGACCCCCATCTCTACAAAAAATAAAAAAATTAGCCAGGCATGGTGGTGCATGCCTGTAGTCCCAGCTACTTGGGGGGCTGAGGCAGGAGGATCACTTGAGTTGAGGTTGCTGTGCGTTGTGATCGTGCCACTGCACTCCAGCCTAGGTGACAGAATGAAACCCTGCCTCAAAAACAAAATAAAACAAACAAAAAAAAAACCCCCAAACCTCACACTGTATTTGTTCCTGTGTAACTTGCTGCTGCTTCTACTTATGCTTTTGAGATTCATCCACTTTGAAACACAGAGCTGTGTTTTTTCATTTTTAGTGCTATCTAGTATTTCACTAGATAAAAATGTATGTCGAAACTTATTTGTCTCTCCTACCTTTGTGGACATCTGGGTACTTTCCAGATTTTTGTTATTACAAACAATGACGCTCCTTCGCCACCATTTAAATGTGCTTATATATCTACCTTCCGCTAACACATAAATAAACAAACACCTGCACTGGCCCCATGACCTCCTCCAAACACTCCTTTTCCTCTCTCAGGCCCCTTCACTTGCAGACCTCTGTCAAGAACTATGAAAGAGCTGAGATTTGGCCGGGCGCGCGCGCGGTGGCTCATGCCTGTAATCCTAGCACTCTGGGAGGCCGAGGTGGGCGGATCGCTCCAGTGTCAGGAGTTCGAAACCAGCCTGAGCGAGACCCTGTCTCTACTGAAAATAGAAGAAATTAATCGACCAATAAAATATATATACAAAAAATTAGCCGGCATGGTGGCACATGCCTGTAGTCCCAGCTACTCGGAGGCTGAGAGGAGGGATCGCTTGAGCCAGGAGATTGAGGTTGCTGTGAGCTAGGCTGATGCCATGGCACTCTAGCCTGGGCAACAAAGTGAGACTCTGTCTCAAAAAAAAAAAAAAGAACTGAGATTTTACTCTACTTGCAGCTAACAAATTAGCCTGTCAGAATTTCTTGGGTTCTTAGCAGAAGAAACATAACTCCTGGATCAGAGACAAGGGGCAGTTGAATACACACAACAATATCAGTTTTGGATCAGTTCCCTGAGCCCCAGTTCCTACTGGGAGGCAGGAGGAGGACCAGGTGACCACTGTACATGCAGTGGGTTGAATTGCAGCAGAGGAGCCCTAAACTTAGGAACCCTCATCCTTTACAATGGGCAGAGGGCAAAGCTACTCTTTGCTCCAGAGGGAGACATTATCTCTGTCTTTCAAGGTTGTTCACTATACAAACAAGCTTGAAAAGTTAGTCTGGAATAAAGGCAGTCAGTGCCTTTGCTCATAAGACTTGCGGAAACGTGAGAGACCCATGGAGACTTTCTCCTAACCATAGCTACTCCTCATTCCTACACTTTCTTGGCTTCTAATGAATTTTCCCATAATATCGCCATTCTGTTGGCCACTCTGATTGATCTGACCAGCAGAGGCTGGGACCAAGTCTTTCAATTTGTCTCATACAACATTCAATGAAAGCTGTTCTCAACAGGACTCCAAGTAGCCAGCCAACCCACGGTACTTTTGTAATTGGATACTTCCTGTCATAGGGAAAATTACCAGTAAATGACATGTTAGCTATTTCTCTGGGAAGCTCCCTCAAGTAGTCAACAATAGCTTCATTTTGGAAAGAGCTCCATAGTCATCTGAGGGCTACATCATCTACTGATGTATTTTCTTCATTTTGTAGATCTCTTGTGACCATCCCTAAGGCATAAGTCACCGTGTTTTCAGGATGGAGGCAAGTCAATACCTGGTTTCCACACAAGAAGTACGGTCCTGAGGGAGCCTTTGGGGAAAAGAAGGTGGTTTTTAAAATTTTTAGGCCTCCCAAGTGAGACTTGCATCAGAAAGAAGCACAGGTTGGCAGTGCCTCCAATGTGGCACCTGGTCAGGAAAAAAAGCTGGCATGTTTGGGCTATAGAAAGGGGACTAGATTTTGCAGAGGGGGGGGTGAAGAGTGACACAAGATGAGGCTGGAAATGCAAGCCAGATCGCCAAGGGCCATAAAGGCATGTAAAGCTGTTTTCAAAAACAGCTTTATTGAGATACAATTCACTTTCCATACAATTCATCCACTTAAAGTGGACAATTTGGTGGTTTTTAGTATATTTACATGAATGTGCAATCATCACCACAGTCGATTTTAGAACATTTTTATCGCCTCAAAAAGAACTCCATCCCCCCTAAAAAGAAGAAAAATAGAAACCCAATGTCCTTTAGCTATCATTCCCTCTCCTTTCTTGCCTACACTCACTCCAGCCCTAACTAAGCAGCCATTACTCTACTTTTTGTCTCTATGGCTTTGCTTTTCTTTTCTTTTTTTTAAGCAGAGAACAGCAGCTCTGTATCTATAGCTTTTCTTATTCTGGAATTCCGTATGAATGAAATTATAGTGTGTGGTCTTTCATGATTGGCTTATTTCACTTAGCATAATGTTTTCAAGGTTCATTCATGTTGTAGCATGTTTCAGTACATTCATTTTTATGGTCAAATGATAGTCAAAAACAATATCCCATTATATGGATATATAACATTTTACTTATCCAATTGTCCATTGATGGAAATTTGGGGTCTTTCTACCTTTTGATTCTATGAGTAGTGCTTCTATAAACATGGGTGTATGTTTTCATTTCTCCTGAGCACAAACTTAGGAGTGGACTTGCTGGGTCATACGGTAATTATGTTTCATCATTTGAGAAATTGTGGGACCACTCGCCAAAGTGGCTGCACCATTTTTATTTCCACCAGCAGAAATGATGGTATGAGGTTTCCAAGTTCTTCACGTCTTTCCAACACTTGCCGTTATCTGAATTTGTTTGATTTGAGCCATTCTAGTGGGTTTCATGCAGAGGCATTTGGAGATGGAGAGGCCTGTGAGAAGGCTGTCCCACTGGTTCAGGCAAGGGACTATGGTGGTCTGGTCTGCAGTTGCAGTAAAGACGACACCGGAAAGTAGACCAAAGACAGTAACCTGGAATTACCCTGGATTTCTGGATCGCCATTAGCTCCCACATCCAATCAGTGACTATGTCCTGTTAATTCTACCTCCTAAATGTACCTTATCCACTCCATTCCCCTCATTCAGTCACCATCATTTCTCCACGAGGCTACCGCAGTAGTCTCCTCACTGGTTTCCCCACTTCCATTCTTCCTCGCGTTAATCTATTTACTGTGTTTCCCCGAAAATAAGACCTACCTATAAAATAAGCCCTAGCAGGATTTCTAAGCACTTGCGCAATAGAAGCCCTACTCCGAAAATAAGACCTAGTGGTGGGCATGGCTACGCAGCGGATCTGCACAACCCATGCATGTCACAGAGCAGTAAAGAAGACAAGCAGCCCTTCTCATCTGCCCCATGAGAGCTCTGTTGCTCGACATCAGAGACTGGGGCCAATGGTTCTAAAGGAAATAGAGTTGCAAGAAATTCAGGATGGAATTCGGGGTTTGGAGAGTTATGATGATGTTCCAGAAGAAGACGACTTAACTATATTTGAATAAATGTAGATTATTGTACCGTACTTAAAAAAAAAAATAACACATCCCCTGAAAATAAGCCCTAGGGTGTCTTCTTGAGGAAAAATAAATATAAGACCCTGTCTTATTTTCAGGGAAACACAGTAAGCAGTCAGAGTGATTTTCTAAAATACTGACCTGACTCCCTGTGGTTTTATATTCTAAATTATAGATGGTTATAAATCTTCAATGTTTTGTGTAGGTTTTACATAAAATACTCACAGATCTCTAGTTCTAAAAAAAAAAAAAAAAAGTATCCTTAAATCATACACGTCATGGAGATTTTTGTTTCCTAAACTAAAAGGGCATGTGGCAGTGACCTGCATCCTAATCAACCCTCCATTTTTATTCCCCTCTCATTCTCCTTTCCCGGGTCATGACTCAGCCACATCTAAGTCAGTTTTCTACCCAGTTCCGAAGACACCGTTGGCACTCAAAAATATTAAATAAGAATTGTGTTGTGTTGCAGGTTGTTGGATTTCTTCTGGAAAAGGGGGTGGACATCACCCTCTGCAATTACAGCCATCAAACCGCAGTGCATGTAGCTAACTGCGACATCCAAAGACAACTCTTGGCAATTAACGGAATCCAGGCTCCCCAGATGCAACTTCTGCAAAGTTCGTGGCAAGGTGACCTCGAACAACTTCAACACTTACTGGTTAGTTAAACTGATGGTTGCTTCTGCCTTTGGGTGGGTGGTGAGAAGGGCATAGAGCTATATATGACTCCTTTTAATGAAAAACAAGGTCTTATCAAATGCAATCCAGGAAAGTTTGAGTCAGGAAATATGAGAAAGAAACAGGATCAAACAGGACGCTGGGGTAGAAAACAAGATAATAAAAGAACAGAGCAGTCGCCTATTTCCACCTTCTTGTAGCTGAGTGCTCGAAGTCACGCAGCACCCCTGGGAAATGATTTGCTGCCAGGAAGGGCCCAGAGGACTACCGTCAAGTTGCTCAAAGGAGTTCCCTTGACATCATTGCCTTTTGTGCAATTGCGTTTAGATCCCTTTGGACCGGTTACAGTTATTGTCTTTATCCTGAAAAGGGAATCAGGGAGCTCATGCCTTGCATAATATTGAGTTGTGACTAAACGAGTTAAGAGGATACATTTTTAAAATGCTCTATTCTTGGGATATTGGTCCTCTTGTCTAGATTTTCTACCTACAGCTATTTTTTCCCAAAGCAACTTGCATAATCATGCACATAACCAAGGACGTTAATTACTGGTGACTGGCAATTGCCTACTCTTGGCATTTACCTTCAGAGATACTGTCAGACCACATGACCTTCTAACTGAAAGAAAATCAATGGCTGCTAGGAAACGGTTTCTTTTAATCCCTTATGGTAAAGACACGAACAGATAAAGAAAAAGTGAAAGATATTCTAGTCACGGGCAGTTCAAGGATAGATATCACAAAACCAAAGGATAATTTAAATTCTTTTGTTGTACTAAGTGATAGTCTAAAGTTGCCACACATCATGAACCGAGGCTTAGAATATTTTTGAAAGACAACACATTTTATTTTAATAGCGTTTTCCAATAGTTGTAATTGTAATCCAATGCCTGTTTTCGTAACCACATATTTCATCCCTGAAGATTAGCGACCAAGTTTTAAGAAATTTAAAACTTGAAATTTAAAAGAATTAAAATTTTTGAAGAAAATTAAATTTTAAAAGAAATTTAAAAGCCTACAACTGGCTCCAGAGCTTGATCGACAGATACAGCATTAATGTGCTATTGCAAGACTATTCTCAGCTCAGAACTTTGGTGTTGGTTCTAACTAATAATAAACACTGATATCAGAGGTGGTTTCTTCTTAGAGACTGAAAAAAAATTAACTAATTAATTCCCATAGCACCCCGCTGAAGTAATGTCATTATCTCGGTTTTGTCCCTAGAGAAGCTGAGTGGAGACGCTGACTGTACTGATGTGGCATAAAGTGACATAAAGATGGAAATTAATGAGTTACTTTGGCCTATAAAATGCACACTTTGGATGTTTTGGCCTTCCGGTAGCTTTTCAGTTCTGAATTGTCCAAATTAAATTGTACTTTCATTAAAGCATCAAATGACATCCATATATCTACCTCCATTTCATAAGGCAGTTAAATAAGCTGCCTTATTATTGTAAATCATTTATTCATTCAGCAGATGTTTACTGTGCAACTATCATGTGTCAGACACTCAGCTAAGTGCTTTCCATATTCCATCTCTAATCACCAAAGCAACCCCGCAAGGAAGGTTGTATTCTTCCAACTTGACGGCTGAGGCTCTGAAGATCAGCAATTAGGGTTGCTAAATTTTGCGAGAAAAAGTACAGGACTCTCAGCCTGAGCAAGAGCGAGACCCTGTCTCTACTAAAAATAGAAAGAAATTAGCCAGACAACTAAAAATATATAGAAAAAATTAGCCGGGCATGGTGGCATGTGCCTGTAGTCCCAGCTACTTGGGAGGCTGAGGCAAGAGGATCACTTGAGCCCAGGAGTTTGAGGTTGCTGTGAGATACAGTGATGCCACAACACTCTAGCCAGGGCAACAGAGTGAAACTCTGTCTAAAAAAAAAAAAAAAAAAAATACAGGACACCCAGTTAAATTTGAATTTCAGATAAGCAACAAGTAATTTTTTTAGTATGTGTCCCAAATGAAAATTATTCATGATTTAACTGGATGTCCCTTATATTATCGGTGTGATTGTATCACCTTTAACAGGGTGTCTCTGATACCACCTACCAGGAAGGTTAGGTAAGCCAGATCTGTCAGTCAGGTTTCTGTTTTTTCACCTCATCAGCCCCCTCTCAGGATAGCTATTGAGATAGAACATATTGAAGTTAAAATGAGGAATTGGCCAAGCTGTGAAAACGCAAAGGTTAGTATAAGTAGCTATATCATAAAAACATGACAGAAATTAAGCTTCCTGTTTTTAAAGGCATCTGAAGAGTTTCTGGATATAAATTTCCCAAACCAACATGGCTTGACCCCTCTGATGCTGGCTGTGAGAGATGTGGACCTATTTGAGAGGCTTGACATGTTAACAGTTTACAGACCTGTGGAAGTTCTGTCTGAGCTCCTGAGGCACCGCGCGTGAGTACGAGTGGGCCGTGAGCACCGGCTGAAGGGTGTCTATTCCAGTGTTCTTGACAGAAAGCACATGTAATCCTTGACACAGATTGTTTTCTACTTATATAGTGGACATTAAATGAACATGCATCGTCATAAAAGTGACTTTACAATTGCAAAGTGATCTGCAGGCTTAAAATTTTTTTTCTATTATCCTTATGATATCCAGCTCTTTGTTTTATTTGTTTAAATAATTACTGTTTTGGTAGTTACTGGGAATGTCAAATAATTCTTGAGTATGTAGCTCCCTACCCCCAAGATGTTACTGATTATTTTGGAAAACATTGTCGATGTATCAGAAGCAATTTATAATAGCGATTCAAGTTATGTTAAAATTACTATATGCCAAATGCTGTTTTAGGAGGGGTGAGGTAAGCAATTAACTTTAAAAAAAAAATAAGAGGGTTAATAAGTGGTCTCTCATGCTATAATTGCAGTTTCCTAAAGCTGTTACCTAGTTATCAAATAAGAACAGATGGCCCAAGTCCTTTCTCAGTATTATATATGAATTTTGTTTGGGCAAAAAAAAAAACCAAAGAAGAGAAAGCCTCAAGAACAAAAGTATAGTGAGGAACATGAGCTATTGTAAAAGGATCAGTTAGTATAATAGAATGAAAATGGAATTTTTGAAGCTACCTCAGACTTTGGTTTAAGACACAGTTGGGGTGGTTGATAAAAATGGAGATTGCTGGACACCACCCCAGAGATGGTGTTCAGTAGGTCTGGGTTAGAGTCAGAATATAGGAGATCAAAGGATACCGCGTGGAGAAACCCTAGTCTAGGCAGAGGGGCAAATGAAGTCCCAACGAGTTAAGTGACTTGCTTAAAACCTTAACAAGGTCATGGCAGCCCCCAGTTCTTGTTCCTATGCTATTTCTTTTGAATTAGGACCTTTCATGGAGAATAGTTAGTGTTGCGGCTCATAACACATCACCTTGTCCTATAGCAACAAAGAGATTCAAATTCAAAGGTTTTAGGTTAGAGACCATGATCCACTTGCTCCTTGTCCTAGCATATGACAAGTGAAGTGAGTTTTCATTGTTTCCCCTACTATTATCTGTTAATAGTACTCTCATCATCATTTGCCTTTGGACCTCTCTGAGCTGATATCTAATGCTAGTAGGGTTCAGTACAGTATAGAGAGGCTGAGAAGATATTCATGCTATTGCAAAGAGCCCTTAGATCAGCCAGTTGGGTTTAACAACCTCAGGACACAGCAAAGAGGAAGGAAAAGAACATGTGAAGAGGGACACCTTTGGTTTTATGAGAAGATCACACCTCTCAACCAAGAGTCTGTGAAATAAGCATATCAACTTAATTTTAAAGAGAGATGCTATGTCATTCCACCATTTTGAATGATAAAAGAGCTAGCTGTTAGCAGTAGTACAAAAAAAAATCAAGAAAGTCAGCAGTAAGCTAAATCATTGGAAATTTAAAAAAAAAAACAATCAAGTGAGCTATTTGGAATAATAAGACAGCAGTTTATCAAGATGTTTTTTATCTTTACTCAAATTTGTGCACCTTTGGATTTTGTTCAAAGTTGGAAATTTTCTGCAAATCTTAGAATGTTTTTGGAATGAGGGTGGGAATAAGATAATAAATTCTTTTTATTAAAAATATTGAAAACTGTTACCTTCTATCCGATATATTTAAAAATCATTATTATTATCCTCAAACTATATAAGATTACTTTTTATTTATTTGATGTCAATGTTTTTCTCCTCGTACTGGTTTTCTTTTTCAATAGATTTAACTAAATAACATTTGATATTGATTCTATTCTTCCTAGTGATCCTAAACTCTGTGATTTTAGTGGAAAATCAGCAATACATTATGTGTCACAGATAGAGAGTTTGAGGAAACAGCAGTTATTGGACATCCTAATGAGTTCTATCCCCAAACCAGGTAACTATTTCTAATCCATGTGCATAATTTCCCAACTAAGAAAAGCCACATTGGAAGTCTTTCTTCTTATGCGTTTGTCTGATGGGTCCATTTAAAGAAATCAAGCCAATAACTATTTATTGAGCAGTGACTCTGCACAGGGCCCATGACTAGGTGCTCTAAGGGGGCAAAGAAGTCTAACGCACAGTCCAAACTTTTGGAAGCGTACGGATGGCCAGGACACATCACAGAAGTCAGAGGAAAAAGAGCTTGCTGCAAACTTGAAAGGGGAAGCGGGACTTACAGTGATTCTTGGAGGCTGGGTAGCATATGGAAAAGTTCGATATAGGTGGGAAAAAAAGAATCTAAGCAAAGACATAGAAACTGCGACAGAGAAAGGGACAATGAAAAGTGTGCCACTGAGCAGCGTGTCACTTTGTGAAGGCTGCCTGACTTTATTGTTCGATTCATTTTTTGTTTGAAGCTTCTGGGGCAGGGGACAAGGCTATATACCTAAGAAGGTATCATGGAAGAGGTGAGACTCCATCTGACCCTGGAAAAAAGGCTGGGATTTGATTTTGTGGAGCAGAGGCGCCGTGCTGTGAGTGAGCATGGCTTACCCCAGGGGCAAACGGGGGACTGGCACTGAAAGTTCACGTCAGGGAGAAGAGAAACAAAAGATCAGACACATAAAGAAACTGGTTATGAATTGAGGGAAGAGCCTTAGATGTCAGGCTCAAGGACATCATTTTTTTTTTTTTAAGAAATAAAATACAGTCACTAAAAGATTTTAAGCCAGAGAATGCTAAAAGCTATGTTTTAGGAAAATTAACCTCCTTCTATTATGTAGGATGAATTTGAGGGGAAAGGCAGGGATTTATAAAGTTTCAGGCCTGGGAAGTGGGGAGATGGAAATACAACCAACAAAACAGGAGAGATTTGGTGAGGATATTGAAGAGGAGGGTAATGAATTTGAAAGCATTGAATTTGATGGAGGTTTGGGGCTCAAGTAGCAATTTTCTAGAGGACTGGGCTTGTGGGAAAGGACGGGTTGAAATGTGAGTTTGGGAGTTCTCAGCAGAAGGGAGATTGTGAGGACCTGGCAGTGGGTGCGATTGTTGAAGGACTGATGATGGTGAGGAAATTGCAGAAGGCTGAGGTGGGGAGCTGTACCCACAGCTGGGGAGTGGTCTACCCATTGGGACTCAGGGGATTCTGTGAGAGAAAGAAGAGGAGAATCAGGAGAGGGCTGCAAGAAGGAAGGAGTGGGGAAACAACGTAACATTAATAAACAGATTATAAAGTAGATATGGGAGGGAAGTGAGAAAAGTTCCAATGGCAGGATGCCAACGGAAAATAGACTGCAAAGAGTAAAGAAGGAAAATATGGCAAAGAAATGGAGGGTCCGGGTAATAGATCCCTTGTCCAATTTTGTTTCAGCTACAAAATAAATGGAAGAACCATTGGAAGAGGAAGAAGTTTTTGTTGAAAAGAGCCCATGCTTATATGAAGAAGTCAGGATAGCAGGAGGGGGGTCTGTATAAGAGCAATGTCCCTTGGCAACTAAGTGAGAGTGACTGTTGGTGTTCAGAACTCTGTCAATGTAATGTGGCTTCAAGCGCCAGACAGGAAGTATGCCCAGAGTGGCTGAGGGCCTCTGTAGGCAGCTGTAGAGAAAATGTGATTTCCAGCTAATTGTTACAGGTTTTGCTTAGCAACTCTGCCTAAACAAACCAGTTAATGCCAAACGTTTGAAGTGACAGCAGTTGATCACTATTTATTAAACTTCATGATATCTCCCCTTCTACTAACCAAAGAAAAAAGGTTGGGTGATCTAAGTTTTTTAAAACTATCGGATGGTCTACAAGGCCTTGGATTGCTCTGATTTCAGGTGATAGCCGTATTGTGCCAAGATTACCCCTGTTCCCCACAAAATGACTTCAGGGGCTTCAGAGCAGGGTGGAGAAAAGAAGATCCAGTATTGACTGAGCTGGCACTCAGTCTTCTGTACGATGCCTGGAAGTGTTCTAGGGTTAGTCGGAAGAGACCGAGAAGCTTCTTCCAACTTTCTACAAGTGGAAGTCCATGGTGACGAGTTGTCCTAGGGAAACATGAAGGACAGATGTCCTTCCTCTGTGTGTGGACCTCTGGAGAAGAGGGCTCCTAACCCTGAGCCAGCTATTGATGGTTTTAATGGTTAAATAGTCTTTCTTCATGTCCCAGTACCCTATAAACCAAAATTCTGATTCTTGGTAACTTTCAATTTCTCGTAGAGTTTAAGATTTGGTAGTTTCCCAAATGTTGATTGATTTCACCCTACCTTTCTTAAAATTATTTTACTTTCTGAAAATCTCCCTTAACTAAAGGCTTTATTTTTTTAAAAATGTAAACCGTCCATTCTGTGGTCGTTTTGTTGTCCTCGCATCTCTTTCACTTGAAAATGATTGCCTGAAGCTTCATCAGGATCCCAGACCATTATTTCAGGGAAATCTTTGACAAAATGGAGCAGATTTTAGAATCTAGAGCTAGATCTTTCTGTGAAATTGCTGGAGGTGAATCTTATGAAAACATATTATTATGTTTCTTTTGACAGAAAGGCACGATGAATCATTGCTCGACATTTGTCATGATACAAACTCTTCTCCAACTGATACGATGACAGTTACCAAAAATCAAAACATACTCTTGCAAAGCATCAGCAGCAGTGAGGAGGTAAGATGCTTCTTTTAAAGAAACAGACTCACAAAAAAGCGGATAACCTACTCCATCTACTACTTGATTTGTGTTGTTCAAATATTTTGTAGCGGTAACATATTATAATATTTTAAAATGTAATCATAGAAAATTTAAAGCACGATTAGTAAGACATTCTTCTGAGAATTTAATCTCAGAGCAGTGATTGGCTAGTCAACTCTGAGTCTCACACGCATGGGGAGTGCGTGCGTCTTAGTCAGTTTCAGCCTCCTACAACAAAGTACCATAGACCGGGTAGCTGATAAACAGCAGAAATTGGTTTCTCCCAGTTCTGGAGCCTGGAAGTCTGAGCTCAGGGTGCAAGTGTGGCTGGGTTCTGGTGAGGGCCCTCTTCCAGGTTGCAGACTGCCAACCTCTTGTATCCTCACACAGGGAAGATAGAACTAGCTAGCTTTCTGGGGTCCCTATTAAAAGAGCACTAATCCTACCACTAGGGCTCCACCCTCCTGACCTAATCACTTTCCAAAGGCCCCATCTCCTAATTCCATCACATTGGTGGTTAGGATTTCAACCTATGAGTTTTGTTGGAACACAGATGTTCAGTCCATAACAGTGTGTGTGTGTGTGTGTGTGTACCCATTAGCACAGAAGATTGTTGTAGCTGAATCCACACTAGATAATCAGATGTAGCTTCTCTTCATATACATTAATCTTGAAAAGGAGAGGATCATTAATCCATATCAAATCCATCACAGGGTATCACAAAGGAGGTGCCTCCTTGTGGCCCTGGCCATCATCCTGCCCCTCCATATAAAGTCCCCTATAGTACAGTAACAGTCCTAGTAACAGACACTGTGACACAGAAATCTGTGGAATGACACCCAAGATGCACAAAAAACTGGCAACAGTGGCTGTCTACAGAGAGAACTGGAGATGTGCTTTGCTCTGTGTACTCATATGTATCTTTTGAATGTTTATAAAAATTAAAATAGGTGAAATAAAGATCTTACTACCTTACATTTTATTTGTAGTAAAAAATATGACCACAAAATTGCTTGTTTTTAAAAGTTAATAAGGTATAATATTTATAAGCAAAGTGATGGGTTTGGGAGATGGTAGAGTAAAGACATTTCAGTCTCTTCTTCCAAAAATCATCCCAAAACAACAAAGAAAACAAAAAATAAAAATTTAATATTTTAGCTTTATATTTTGAAATCATTATAGACTCAAAAGAATTTGCAAAAATAGTACAGAGAAGCCCTGTGTACCCTTCATCATCTTCCCCCAGTGGGGACTATTGTCATAAGCTTAGTCAATTATTAAAATTAGGACATTGACATTGACACAATGCAATTCACTAGACTATAGAACTTCCTTGGATTTCTGTAGATTGTGCGCACAAAGAAAGCCTTTTTGTTTCTTTCTCCGTGTGTCTGTGTGCACAGTGCCATGACTTTTGTCCCCTGATCACCATGATCATGATACAGACCTGCTCTGTCACCACAAAGGAATCCCTTCCTACCATCCCTCTATATCCAAACCCTCTCCCTTCCCTACCCCATGCCAACCACTGCTCTGTTCTCCATCTCTATAATTTTGTCATTTCAAAAATGTCATATAGGCCGGGCGCGGTGGCTCACGCCTGTAATCCTAGCGCTCTGGGAGGCCGAGGCGGGTGGATTGCTTGAGGCCAGGAGTTCGAAACCAGCCTGAGCAAGAGTGAGACCCCGTCTCTACTATAAAAATAGAAAGAAATGAATTGGCCAATTAATACATATATAAAAAATTAGCCGGGCATGGTGGCGCATGCCTGTAGTCCCAGCTACTTGGGAGGCTGAGGCAGAAGAAGGATCACTTGAGCCCAGGAGTTTGAGGTTGCTGTGAGCTAGGCTGACGCCACGGCACTCACTCTATCCTAGGCAACAAAGTGAGACTCTGTCTAAAAAAAAAAAAAAAAGTCATATAAATGGAATCATTATACATGTAAACTTTTGACCTTGGCTTTGGCTTTTTCTACTCAGCATAATGTTCTTGATATAGACCCAAGTTGTTGTTTTTTTTTTTTTTTTTTTTTTTTTTTTGAGAACGAGTCTCGCTTGTTGCCCAGGCTAGAGTGAGTGCCGTGGCGTCAAGCCTAGCTCACAGCAACCTCAAACTCCTGGCTCGAGTGATCCTTCTGCCCTCAGCCTCCCAAGTAGCTGGAACTACAGGCATGCGCCACCATGCCCGCCTAATTTTTTATATACATATCAGTTGGCCAATTAATTTCTTTCTATTTATAGTAGAGACGGGGTCTCGCTCTTGCTCAGGCTGGTTTTGAACTCCTGACCTTGAGCAATCTGCCCGCCTCGGCCTCCCAGAGAGCTAGGATTACAGGCGTGAGCCACCGCGCCCGGCCGCATGTTTAACTTTTTAAAATATGGCCAAACTATTTTGCAGAGTTGCACTCACATTTTATGTCCCCACCAGCAAGGAATGAGAGATGCGGTTTCTCTGCATCCTTGCAATTATTTGGTACTGTTAGTTTTTTATTTTAACCATTCTAACAGGTGTGTAGCATTATCTCAATGTGGTTTTCATTTGCATTTCCCTTATGGCTGATGTGGAACATTTTTTTATATGTTTATTTGCCTTCAGTATAAGTTGTCTGTTCAAGTATTTTATTTTTTTTATTTTTTTTTTACATGTTCCTATGGATTCTGAGTGTTCAAGTATTTTGCCTCCATTTTCTAGGTGGATTGTTTGTTTGTTTTCTTATTGGGTTTAGAGAATTAATGGTATATTCTGAATACGTGATTCACAAATATTTTCTCCTAGTCAAGAGAAAGACTTGTTTTTTCATCCTTTTTAGTCTTTAATTGAACAGAAGTTTTTAATTTTGATGAAAAACAATTTATCCATTTTTTTTCTTTTATGGATCATGATTTTTGTGTCTAAGAATTCTTCACCCAACCCTAGGTGTTCTCTTCTAAAAGATTTATAGTTTCACATTTTACATTTAAATATGTGATCCAGTTTGTATTAATTTTTATAAGTGTGAGATTTAGGTGGAGGTACATATTTTTGCCAACAATGTCCAATTGTTTCCACATCATTTGTTGAAAAGACTATCCTTCCTCCATTGACTGACTCTCATACTCTTGTAAAAGAAATCTTTTGAGCTTCCTTCTTCAATTTAACTACTATTAATTCTAAGATGCATATTTGGCATTTTAACATCTTTGAAATCAGATATCTTACAATTGACATAGTAAAGTTGGCACTGTCGTTTTTAATGGTGCATAATATGATGGTGTATCTCATAATCAGAAGCATCTTAGATTCAGTGAAATATGGTAGGACACATTACTAATCCCAAATCACAGTATATGACATTAGAAATGGGTGGAGGAGTGATAAATGATTTGGCAGCATGGCCAAAAGTGAAGCTTGATTGTCCACAGAAGGGATATTGATGAGAATCAAGATGACATGCTGCAAAAAAGCAAGGAAAGGCCCAGGAATTACAGGCATCAGGCACTGCAGAAGTTGGAGGTTAGTGTGAGGTTGAAAAAAAACAGAGTTTGGCTGAAAGTTTGTACAGGAGTCAGAGAGATCCCCAACATTCATTCTCCTTCCACTCTGTGTAACCAAGCCATACTAGTACATTTTTTGATGCAACTTTATAACTTTTTTTGAGCTTTCACTATCTATTTTTTTCTTATTGTGGCTAAAATAAACTTTGAACTCATTTTTGGGGGGAGAAATAGACTTTTCCACTATCGGACTTGCCTTTTTCTTCCCTAGTGCTTTCTCTAGGGTTTAAATCCCCAAACCCAAGGTCATCCTTCACTTCTTTTCTTTTGAATGAAAGCTTGGTTTTCTTGTTGGTTGACTGAAACATGTTTTTCCGGTGCACAGATATAGGTAGCTGCCCTGCTTGTAGGACTGCTCCCAGGGCCTCTTTATATGCTCTCCCAGCCTGTTTTCATCTGAGGAGAATCTTCTTTCCAAAGGTTATCACATATGATTTCTCTCCCGATTTTCTCTTCTGTGTGTTTAGTACTTCATTGTGTGCAGGGGAGAATGCTCAGGCTCTAGTTCTCGTCCATCTTTCACTTCCTGCATGTTATCAGTGGCTTAGGAAACCCATCTGTGTATGGGATTTGCTATTCTGATGTTTTCTCTCTCTCTCACTCACTACTAGGCATCATTATTTCAATTCTCTTTGTGGCACTCAAGCACATCTTAAAGTCTTTCATGTTCAGCTTTCTAAAACAAATTAGAAAACCCTGCGCTGTTTCTGTTTTAGAGTCTTCATTTCCATGACTGCCTTCAAACTGGATCTTACTCCCTATATCCCTTTTGTCTGTGGTATTTTATGGTCTTTCAGTTTATTCCATGGCAGAAATTTTTGTCAGGCACTTGTAGGTATCACATACCTTTTCTTTTTTTCTGTAGAGAACTTATCAATTCTGTTAGGTATCCTTTCTTTTCATTTTGTTCATTGTCATTAATTCTTTTCTTTGTGGTTCTTGTTGAAATTCTTTGTTTCAAGCTTTTCATGGTAGCAACATAGTAGAGTGGTTACACACTCTGGAACTAGACTTCAGAGTCTGGGTGTGAATTCTGGCTCTACCACTGGCTGGCTTTGTGACCTTAGGTAAGTGACTTACCTTCTCTGGGCCTTGTATTTAAAATGAAGATAATAGTTCCTACTTTTAGAGTTTTTGTAAAGATTATTTAATATATGTAAGATATATTGGACAGTGTCTGGCACTATATTTGTAAATGCTAGTCATTGTTATGGGGGTTTTTTTTTGTTTGTTTGTTTGGTTTTTTTTTGAGCCAGAGTCTCGCTTTGTTGTCCAGGCTAGAGTGAGTGCCATGGCGTCAGCCTATCTCACAGCAACCTCAAACTCCTGGGCTCGAGCCATCCTTCTGCCTCAGCCTCCCGAGTAGCTGGGACTACAGGCATGCGCCACCATGCCCGGCTAATTTTTTTATATATATATCAGTTGGCCAATTAATGTCTTTCTATTTATAGTAGAGACGGGGTCTCGCTGTTGCTCAGGCTGGTTTTGAACTCGGACCTTGAGCAATCCGCCCGCCTCGGCCTCCCAGAGAGCTAGGATTACAGGCATGAGCCACCGCGCCCGGCCTGTTATGGGTTTTGTAGGTAGGAACGCCCACACTGCCATCTTCTAACTTTTCTTAAAGGATCAACTGACAAATGAACTAAGTTGAGACTGACCACAGCCCATTATAGTCAACATGGAAACTTGACATGAGAACCAGTATATTTAACACTTCCAAGTGAGGGCTGCCATTTTCCAAAGTTTAGCATAAAAATTTCATTGAACCACTATAATTATATGAAATGGTAGACACATGTTTGGAGGTTTCATGGAGTATTCTAGACAAAACCAACATATATTTAAAAAGTTCAAATGGTCCATCAGCATCTGAATCTGTCTCCAACTTTTCCATTAATCAAAGTATGCACATTCAAATAACAATAAGATGACCAATCCTATATGTTGCATCAATAAAAATGAAAAGCAATGATAATTGATAAGGGAGAAGATATAGGGAAACACATTCATGTTCTGCTGGTGGATTATAAATAGGTATAAACTTTATTTTTAAGGCAATGTGTGAAAAAAAAAGACTTAGCATTTTTCATATTCTTTACAGCAATAATTCCAGATCTAGGAGTCTACTCTAAAGAAATAATTCAAAATTGGTATATTAATTACAAAGATATTCACAGTGCTACATGTAATAATGAAGAATTAAAAACTGCCGACTAAGCAATATGGGGCTTATATTGTAAGATTTGTGGAGCTTTTTAAAGAAACACTATCAGCCAGACACGGTGGCTCACACCTATAATCCTAGCACTTTGGGAGGCCAAGGCAGGAGGATCACTTGAAGCCAGGAGTTTGAGGCCAGCCTGGGCAGCCTCATCTCTACAAAAAAATTTTTTTAATTAGCTGGGCTTGGTGGTGTGCACCTGTAGTCCTAGCTACTCAGGAGGCTGAGGCAGGAGGATTGCTTGAGCCCAGGAGTTCAAGACTGCAGTGAGCTATGATTATGCCATTGCATTCTAGCCTGGGTGACAGAGGGAGACCCTGTCTCTAAAAAATAAAAAAAGAAAAGAAAGAAAAAAAGAAACACTTATATATAAGTGGAAAATCCATAGGCACAAACAATAGGTATTTTTTAATCTTGCTTTTTAAAAATTACTGTTTTGTATTTCCATATATTCTAAGAAGAGTAAACCACCCTTTGTAATTGAATGGGAAGGAGAAGGAATTTGCCAGATATTGGTAGAATTTTTGAAATTCAGAGCAGGATCAGTAGTGAGGCTGACAACAGTCAAGGAGCAGGATGAGCCCATTAGTCATTGACAACCCTGATGGTCTGAGATTGGGCACCCGACTTTGCCAGCAGGTAGAAAATGCTTTAAAAAATATGAACTACCACATAAAGGTAAGGTGTGACAACTAAGTTGTTATGATTTGAATACCTAAAATACTATACTATTTTAATAGTATAAATAGAGGGTTTTACTTTTATTATTTTCTATGATAATTAAAATGCAAAGCAAGCAAGAAAAAAAATTCCAGCCTCTCCTAGAAATTAGTGAATAAACTATCAGAGGCTTTATGTGACCAGCTGCTCGTCTGAACTCAGATGACAAACATCTGCATTGAGATCAAGGACTTTTTTATCCAACTGTCCTCTTAAATAGGCAGTTCGCCTAGACCATGGAAGCCAGAGAGCTCATTGTAACCTCTGGGTTGCGATGGGATATTTTAGTTACTACTTGCATCTATTGTGCTTCTAGAAAATCAAAAAGGACAAAATCGGCAGCCACACTTCTAACAAAGAAATCTGTCAATAGCAATGAATTCTACTAAGAAAACATTTCTCCTTTAGAGAGCTGGGAGTACTTTATATAAATCAAGTTGGTTTTCAATCTTGTTTTTTCAGGATAATGATTATTTCCTAGAGCATAAAAAGGAAGTTTGAGAGGTTGTGTGCCATGATGAGATCAGAAACCGTCGCAGTGAAAACTTTAATCAGCTTTGCTGCCTCTTCGGTCTAGAGTTATATCTGCAGCTCCCACAAGGGGCAGGGATTTTACTCTCACCATTTGTCAGTGGTGCTCCAGGGAGGCTTTATGGAAAAGACCATGCTCCTTTGGGGTTGTTCACTGTGACTGTGGCCGAAGGATTCTCTCCAGTTAACAACCCCCTCCCCTAGGAATGGAATCTGTGGCAGCTTTAGCAGCCTGGACGCTGAGATGATAAAGTATAAAATATTGAATTTCTATGTGTCTACGTGGTTTCCGCTTTGATCTTCATTTTTGATTATGCAATTAATCACATCTGCGACTGTCTGAGGCTGGTGCTCCAGGGGGCAGATACTTTTCTATTATTTTAGTCCTAAATACTTCATCCAATTTAAAAGGAATCCACAAAAGTGTGAAACTGTAGCCTAGAAAAATCAGCATTCACTCTGCCAACAAATTAGTACATCGAATGACTGAGTTTTTATTTCACGGCATTGCAGGAGTTCGACCAAGATGATGACTGCGGTCATTCCATACCGGTTAGTGACGAAGGCGATCCCGGTGGTGGCAGACAGCCCTGGCAACCCAGGACAGAAGGTATCCCGCTTCTGAACTTGATGTGTTCACAGACATAACATTGAGTATATATAGGGTTTCCCCCCTGATTTCAGAAATGCTCGGTGCAGAATTTTGAAAACACAGAAAAGCACGAAGGAAAATGAAAGCCACTCATAATGCTGCTCTTTGGTCCACATCTGAATGAGTGGGTCTGGGCAACTTGCCCATCAAAACTGGCAACCCAAGCCGGGCGCGGTGGCTCAAGCCTGTAATCCTAGCTCTCTGGAGCTGAGGCGGGGATTACTCGAGGTCAGAGTTCAAAACCAGCCTGAGCAAAGGCGAGACCCGTCTCTACTATAAATAGAAAGAAATTAATTGGCCAACCAATAATATAGAAAAATTAGCCGGCATGGTGGTGCATGCCTGTAGTCCCAGCTACTTGGGAGGCTGAGAGCAGGAGATCGCTTGAGCCCAGAGTTTAGGTTGCTTGAGCTAGGCTGACGCCACAGCACTCACTCTAGCCTGGGCAACAAAGTGAGACTCTGTCTCAAAAAAAAAAAAAAAAAAAAAAAAAGAAAATGGGCAACCCTCTTCTGGCTCTTCTCTCATTCCCTACGCCCCTTCCGGCCCCCGACTCCATCTCAGCCAGCCAGTGGCTGCCCCTTTCCTTTTTGTCTGACAACACCTTTTCTCCATTTCTTTGTCAGCTCCAGGCATCTGTTCCCTTCCAGAGCCACACATTTCTCCAGCCCTTGTTGTCCCTGGCCTGTCCCCCTTGAGGGGCAGTGGGGAGTGAACCAGGCGCAAAAGCCCCAGGTCTTGGTCTTTTATCCTGTGAGGCCATAAATCTGGAATTTTCCAGAACCACACCCATTTCAAACATGTTCTCCTGTCACACCCATGAGTGCCCTTGCACCGAACAGACCACAAGGTATTATATCTGCAGATTCTCACTTCAGAAAATAAGTCGCCACAGCTACCACGTTTCTCTACCATCTATTCGCCCATAACCTTCTTAAATTAGATGTTGATTCGAACTGCTGCAATTTCTCCCCGGCGATTTTCTGGCTTCCATCTCTAACACTCCAGGGAAGCTGCCCTCTTCCCCTTCTGGTTTTTTTTCACGCCTTCCCGCATTCCCTGAAGGCTGCAGTTCTGGCCTAGCTGCCGTCCCTCCCTCCCCTTGTGTGTGCTGCCCTCTCCTGGGCGGCCTCCTGCCTTCCTCACACTCCCTCGGATAGCCTCTCCCCAGCCTGGGCGCTGAGAATAATGTAGTGATGCTTAAGATCCTGAACACCAGCAAACCTGGAAGAGCTAGTGAAAATAAACAAATCCAGAAACTCTTCTGAATGATTCTTGCGATCTGTCTGCCTTTGACTTTCATAGACTTCAAAGCCAGGCTCTCAGAAGCCTGATGGTGTCCCAGGCACCTTCTAGAAGTTTAAATATTTCATTTATTCTGCGCAACTTGGAGATGTACCGCCATTTGGGGTGCTGGTCATTCTTTTAAAATTGATTTGTAATATTTTCAGTTTTCATATAGTAGCCATAACACTGATGCAGTATGTCCACTAAGCTCTTGCAGTTTGGGGCTTTAATATTTAATAACTTGTGTTACAAATTTGAAAGAAACAATTATCTTTCTGATAAAATTTCTTCTTACGGGTTGATAGACTTCAGTTACTTTTTTCAGTCACAAAGTCTGAGATAAAAGTGTTTTGAGTATTATTGTGCATTGTATTCATTTTAAATAACATTTGAAATTTCTTTAAATATCAATTTAATCTCTTTACATCCCATTTCCATGGTATTTCTAACATATCTCAAATTATTAATGTTTAAAGTGCTTAAATAATTTATGAAGACCTTATGCATAGACCATGTGGCTATTCTGTTGTAGATACATACATTTAATCATTTAGTTTATGTGTTTGTCCATCATATTATTTTATTAAAAAGGAACATCACTAATTAAAATATCTATAAACTCCGTAACATCTGGATCCCATGCACCTTAACATTCTTTCTTTTCTTTTTTTTTTTTTTTTTGAGACAGAGTCTCACTGTGTTGCCTGGGCTAGAGTACCGTGCCGTCAGCCCAGCTCACAGTAACCTCAAACTCCTGGGCTCAGGAAATCCTCCTGCCTCAGCCTCCTAAGTAGCTGGGACTACAGGCATGTGCCACCATGCCTGGCTAAGTTTTTCTGTGTATTTTTAGTTGGCCAATTAATTTCTTTCTATTTATAGTAGAGATAGGGTCTCGCTCTTGCTCAAGCTGGTCTCGAACTCCTGACCTTGAGCGATCTGCACGCCTGGAATTCCCAGAGTGCTAGGATTACCGGTGTGAACCACTGCGCCCGGCCACACCCTAATATTCTTTATGGAGAACTTAAGTATTCCTGCAGTATTTGTTTGCTTTATTATTTATTTATTATTTGCTTTTGCAGATGGTCATGTGTAAAATACAATTTACGGACAAAAAAATAAATAAATAAATAAATAAGCCAAACCAAAAAAACCCTCATCCTTTTCCATAGTACAAAACGTTGCATTTCTTAGTCAACATAATACAACCCTTGTAGACTAGAAATTGAGCCTGTGAATTTACTCTTTTCATGAATAAACAAGAGTCTATTTCTTAAAATTACTGGGCTTAATTTTTTTTTTAATACAGTGTAAATCCATCAGGATTCTTAGTTGCAGATAACATAACCTACTCCTAGTTCAGTTAAGAAGAAAGCTTTTAAAAAGATATTAGAAAGTTTATAAACATTGAAAAACCAGAGGAGAGGAACTGCCTTAGTTCATTCATGCTGCCATAGACTGGATGGTTTAAAGAGGAGAGTTATTTTCTGACAGTTCTGGAGGATGGGAAGTCCAAGAGCGAGGTTCCGGCAGGAACTGGTTTCTGGTGAGGACTCTTCCCGGCTTGCAGATGACTGCTTTGTCCCCACATGGCCCTTCCTCTGTGCACGCACAGAGAGAGCAAGGCTGAGCGAGCTCTCTGGGGTCTCTTCTTATGCACACACTAATCCAATTGATCAGGGCCCTACCCTTATGACCTCGTGTAACCTCAATTTCTTCTTTACGGGCCGCATCTCCAAATACAGCTGATGGTTAGGGCTTCAGCCTACGAATTTGGGGGTGAGGCACACACTTTCAGTCCATTGCAGGAAGACTCTCAGTTGGATTGTGAGGAAGAATTCCCATAACTATAATCTTAGAACTGGCAGCTTCTGACCCCCAAATCATGCTGCACCTGCCATAACCAGGGAGCCACTCCCACTGTCAACCTAAGGACTGACCCCTCCCTCTGCTGACGCCAACATCAGCACCATGGATGCTGCACCTTATCTTTCTTCATGTAACTCACATGCGTCAGTCTCTCAAGCACACGTCTGATCCCTGGCAGCACAGGAGGCTGGAAAATAGGGTTTTAAAAAAGTACGTGTTGAGATTCGCAATGTAGGAAATTATCAAAATGTGGAGAGGGCAGCAAAATATTTTGAAACCTCGATGCCTGCAATCTAAACGGGTATGCCCATCAATTTCAATAGAACAAGGGGAACACAGGAAAGTAAGACTTTTCTAGAGGAAACAATTTTTCTTCATCACACGAGTTAGTCTGGGCCAGACTTTAAGTTTCTATTTTAATGAAGGCCTTAACACTAATGACAAAGTAAGGATCATTTCTCAACGTTTTATGAATGTCATTCCCTCTTTTGTGAAGAAAATGTTTCCTATTGCATTGAAATTTTGTCTTTTAATCTCTCTTTACAGGGATCTTTTCTGGTGGGGTTAATTTATCCTCATGATCTGAAAAATGCAGTCAGTCAGGAGCAAGAGTTGTATTTTCACGTGTGACAATGCATCGTCTTTCTTGGCCTACTGGGAGGGTTCTGAGGCCATATCCACAGCTCCCTCTGCCACTCACAGTATTCAAGAGAAAGAACAAAGGGAACGTTTGTATGTTTCACAACAATTTCAGAGTCAGTATATTCTATTGATATTAGAAGTTCATAAACCATTATGAACCTTTCCCATTTAGGACCAACAATTAGGATGGCAGCCATTAGCTCTTAACAATTTCTAAAAAGGCAGGTAATTCTTATACTTGCATAGTATATCTTTGTTCTTTGGTTTGAAAAAGAAATCAGCCAATTCATGGACATTTAAGCACACTGAATTTGCTTGCAAGCATTCTGGGTTTCATTAGTTCTTGACAAACGTGTTCATGTGAATACCCAGTTTTCTAACTTTCTACTCAGTTTTCTAACTTCCCCAGCAAAGTACTAAATGCATCTAGCCTTTGTACCAGAACATTCTTTTCCCTGACAGTTTAGTTATTAGAATGTCTGCTGTATGTTTTTCTCACTCTAACATGTCAGCTAGGTTTTTACACTCAAGGATGACTACAAAAATGTTATGAAAGACATCCATCTTTCTTTCAAGTAGGAGAATGACCTTGAGCATGTTACACAAACCCATGGCTATTCGTTTCTTCATTTCTAAAATGAAAGGCTTGGATCAGATGACCTCTAAGTTCCTTCTAGCTCGATAATTCCAAGCCTCTCATTTTGTACTACATAGTGTGGTGATACGATATTTGAAAAGTTAGAAAACAATTGGCCATTCCAAGGAAACTTCATTTTTAGACAAGTGTTCCTTGCTATTGTATAATATTAGAAAACATGCAATCAAGTTGTCTGAGAAACATGTTTTCAAGAAAACCAAAGCTAGATACATTTTCACGATCTCGCAAAATATAATATTGGATGACAACGATAGTAAATACTATTATCATTTGCATGATTGTAAACAAAACTTTTCCTTTTGGAAATTTTTACTGTTTTTTTTTAATGCACTAGTCTTATTACATGACACAGGTACAAAAATTGAACAATAAATATGCTTTCATGACAAAATATCCAGAGTCCTTTAAATATAGTAAAAATCTACCAATTGAGATAATGATGATGACGATAGCCATTAAGTAACTTTCCCAAGGTCACCCAGGAAGTGGCAGAGTGAGGAGGGTTGTAGACCCAAATCTGATCTGATTCACACCCTACCCTCAACCTCCCTGCTATACTTTGTCGCTAGCACTCAGTTGGTGGAGCTTATACAACCATCGCTCCTCTGGGCATATGCAGACTGAGTCAGTAGCTCTGGCAAATACATAGATAGGAATGAATACTGAGACAAGCATTGCATCCTCCTGGAAGGACACTCCTCTCTGCTCCCACAGTACCATTTGCACACTTCTATTACAGTGCTGACCTCCTGCATTCTTTGCTTTCGTATCAGCTCTACCGGGGCCACAGCTGCATCTTGTTTATTTCTATGGCTTCAGTGCAAAGTTCTGGGCTTGTCATATGCTTAATAAAAGTTGAATGGAAAAAAGGAATGAATGAATAAATCTCAAAGTACAGGCAATTGTAGCGTGATTCATGCTAGTTTTTCACATAACTTTGGTCAACCTGTTATATTGTAAGCAACCATCCATTCTGCTCGTTGGGACTTGTCATCTAAACTTGTTATACTGGGAATTGTTTCATGGAATCAGACAGGAGATGAGCAAAATTACAAACATAAGCAAGTTTCTTTGGGGCCACATAAATTATCTCATTTAACCCTCACAACAGTCTTATGAGGTAGGTATTGTCGCACTTTATGGAAGGAAGCCTTGTTTTCTCCATTCAGGTGACTGACACTGTTCATCATAAAACTTTATTTTACATCTGGAAAATTTTATTATACAGTTTTATTTTTCTCTTTAAGCAAGCATTTATTTAGGACCTATCGTATACTGGACAGTAAAGATACTAAGATGGCTAAACTTTAGTCCCTGGTGAATGTCCATTCTGCAATCATTAAGAACAGATTGGCCAAAATAGTCAGAAATAAAATACTTCTGCTTACCACTAGAATTCATTACATTCTTTCCTTTTACTACGTTCATGCATTTCTATAGGTGTTGAGATCATTGTGACTTTTCCAAAAGACATCAGTCACCCCGAAGAAATGAGCCAAGAAGATTTAAAAGAAAACAAGTAAGGAATATTCTTTGAAGTATTAGACTAGAAATTAAGTACAAAGGGATGACACTTGTGTGGAAACCTACATTTCTGGTAATTCAACCTACAATGCTCAAAAGCAGCGGTGACAATATGTAGTACGTGGCATGGGCCAGGTAATAAATAGTTAGCCCTTGTGGGACAGATAGTCTCTGTTACAATGATTCAACTCTGCAGTTGTCACTTGAATGCAGCCATAGACAATATGTAAACAAGTGAGTGTGCTGTGGTCCAACTAAAGCGACAAAAACAGGCTGAAGGTTGGGTGTGCCCCCATCCTTCTCCCCCCTGCCCCATCCCCATAGTTTGTGGACCCTGCTCTAGGGCAGGGCTGCTAAGAACATAGTTGTGTGGTCCTGTTATCAGACCATGATGAGTTCAGTACAGGACGGGAGGGCAACCATTTAAAAAGTTGTATAGCAATTGACAAAGTAATTTTATGTTCATTGATAGGATAATGAAAAAATTGGGGCTTATTTTCTGCATAGTTTTAATATTTTGTCCATTTCTTTTTTCTTTTTTTTTTTTGAGACAGAGTCTCACTCTCTTGCCTGGGCTAGAGTGCTGTGGCATCAGCCTAGCTCACAGCAACCTCCAACTCCTGGGCTCAAGCGATCCTCTGCCTCAGTTTCCCGGGTAGCTGGGGGCTATAGGCAAATGCCACCATACCTGGCTAATTTTTTTCTATTTTTAGTTTTTTGGCTAATTTCTTTTCTATTTATAGTAGAGATGGGGTCTCGCTCTTGCTCAGGCTGGACTTGAACTCCTGAGCTCAAACAATCCACCCGCCTCGGCCTCCCAGAGTGCTAGGATTACAGGCGTGAGCCACCGCGCCCGGCCTGTTTTGTCCATCTTTATAGTAATCTGCTTTTATTATATTTTTTAAAAGTATCAGTCCACAGTGGACTGGAAAGTTTAAAAACTGGTCCTTCCCCAAAGATAGCTTGAGAAGCACAGGGTTAGTCAATGCCTTTGGGTTCATCCTCCTGCCTGCCCCTTGTCTCTTCTCTGCGCAAAGAGCTGGGGGACTGGGCAGAGCAGACTGGGCTGAAACCTAATCCATCCAGGTGACTGCGTTGGGTGTGGAGGGCAGAGGAGGTTGGCAGTGAGTCGGAGGGTGGAGAGGTCTGTCCACGCAGGATACAGCCGTTCCACTCAGCAGCCATTTGGGAATCGCTCTCCAAACTTTCTAGCCATGTCTGTCCACACTGAGAACTGAGACCGAGAAGACATGGCGAACGAGTTTTAAATCAGACCATTTCCCTTTTAGTCAGACAGCCCCGGTGTGTCAAGAATGGGCAGCGGCACGTTCGGTTTCTCTTCCATACGACATTGAGATTGTGGACCTCAAGACAAAGGCGCTGACCACACGGCCTTTACTTCTGAAGAAAGAAGAAAGTTCCAGGGAGCTCCTTGACATGAACTTGGGCTGTTTGCTGCCAAGACCTTGTTTAGAACCAAATCTCTCCAAGTCTGTAACCAGAGAAGATGCTCCTCATTTTCTGAAGGGGCAGCAAAGAAAATCTGAAGGTACATTGAACACTGAATCCCACAGTGATTCCTTTACTCTTTTGGTCCACAAGTTTTTTATTTATTCTGCCAGGCGCTGTTCTAAATGCTAGAGATACAGCAGTGAACAAGACAGACAATAACCCCAGCCCTTGTGGAATTCGCATTCCTGTGAGGGTTGGGGGGGCGGGGTGCAGGACAGACAATAAACTAGCAAAGAAGTAAAATAATGAGGGGTGGCATAATGTTCCAGTAGAAAGAACAGTATGTGCAAATATTCATATTGAGCCTAAGACTCACTTACCAGAAAGCAGCACTAATGCCAGTGTTTAACCCTGGGGCAACATGATCTTTGGTATTTGCTTACTACTTTCCTAAACCAACCAGCCCAAACCACTAGGAACAAACCTATAATCCAACAAGTTGCATTCATTGACTTATTGCAACGAGGGAGACTGCACACCAGAGAAACTGTGAGGCATCTTCCAAAAGGAAACAAATAGAATAATTATTAGAGGATTTGGGGAGAAGAGTATAGTTTAAGTGAAATTAAATGAAGCAGTGCTTAAAATTTTATTGTGCTAAAATGTGCATAACATAAAATTTACCATTTTAACCATTTTCAAGTGTACAGTTCAGTGGCATTAAGTACATTCACATTGTTGTGGAACCATCACAACTATTCATCCCCAGAACTTTTTCTTCTTGCAAAACTGAAACTCCGTGCCCAAAAAAACAATAACTCCCTGTTCCCTTCTCTCCTGAAACCTCTGGTAACCACTGTTTTATTTTCTGTCTCCATATGAATTTAACTACACTAGGTCTTTTGTATAAGTGGAACCACGCAATATTTGTCCTTGTGTCTGACTTGTTTCACTTGGCATAATGTCTTGGTAGGCTATCTGTAAAGGGGGTAACATCAGATCTGGACTGTGAAGTGGACTCAGGGCCTTGTTCCTTGAAGTCTACAAAGTCAGCTCCCCACCCTAAGCAGCCTCTCTTCAGCCTCGTATCTTGCAGTATGAGAAACACCTGCACCACTAAACGCCTCCCCTTACCTGAACAGCTCTGTGAATATTTGCACATACTGTTCTTTCTGCTGAAACATTATGCCGTCCTTCAGAGCTCATCTTAGAAGCTACTTCCTCTGGGAAGTCTTCCTAAACCTCCTAAGACTGAAGGAGTTGCCATTCCTTTGGACTACTGCAGGCTCTTGACCTCACCTACAACACAACACTCATGCTGGATTGTCACTGTTTGTTTATGTTCCATCTTCACCAGATTACAAAGGCAACAGTCATTGAACCTCCAAGCACCTAGCATCATACCTGGCGCATAACTGTTAAAAATGCAGATTGAATTAACAACAATAATAACCAGTTATTGAGTGCCTACTATTAATATTGCAAGGCACAACTATCCACTGATAGTATTAGTATCCCTGTTTCAGAAACCAGGAAACGGAAGCCTAAGGAGGTTAAATGGGTGTTCAGGTCACATAGCTAGTGAGTCACAGAGGCTGGGTTCAAACCTGAACTGCCCGTCTCTGAAACCAGTGTGCTTAAGCACCGTGCCATCTGTGTTCAGAGTTCATACCCTCCGTCTGAGTCCCACTTTAGTTTTGAGGGAAGAAAAAGAACAAGCACATTTAGCCTTGAAGATGCATTTAGAGAAAAGGAGGGGCAGTTGGTGCAGTTACAACCTGCAAGGGAGAATGGATGGAGAGATGGATTTGGAAATCCTGGAAACATCCTTCTCCCCTAGCCAGACTGCAGGGAGTCTCGAAGCTATAACAAGGAGCACACGCAGGCGAGAATAAACTTGGTTAGGTCGGTAGTGGTGATGTGGCTGGTTGACGGTGCCACAAGGTTGTTTGCAAATGTCAACATGGGCTCCCCAAAGTTGACAAAGCAAATATTTGTTTGCTCTTTTAAAAATTTAAGTGAAATTTAAAAAAATTAGACAATATATGTTGATCAAGAAAATTTCAGAAAATGCAGATGAACAAAAGAAATAAAGTACAAATAGTACTTCAAGACCATTTCTTTTGGAGTAATACTTTCATATATTTCTAAATATCATGTTTATAATGATATTTCTTTATTCATTTTAAACTTTATTAAGATTTAATACTTTTACATTACTCTCCTCACTCACAAGTAATGCTCAATCTTCCTAATCTGTTTTTCCTCTAAACATCAACATCTAGCATCTCTATTATTGTGCAAATATTGTAAAATATTTGCAGCTAAGCCCCACAATGTGCTGATTGCATTTCCTTTCTTTTTAGACGTATTTATCCCAGCGTTTGTAAATGCTTCATTTCATCATTTGCTCACTTTCTGCATACCTGTCACTAATTCATCCCCTTCCTGTGTAATTGACTTGTAAAACACATCTTAGTGCAGGTGATCATATAGCAGGTAATTCATTGGTTCCTTTTGTGCTTGGAAACATTGCTTCTGGAACCTTCTGCTCTCTTGTTTCATTCTGCCCTTCCTGCCCTTTTGACCAACTGACCAGCTGCCTGTCTGGGATTCCTTTGCCATCTTCCTGGGAATTCCCTGCCTCCCTGCTGTGTTGAACCACTGTGTGCTGGATATGCAGCTTACTCTTCCTTGGCTTACTTCCTCATTTAGCAGGACACATTTTCCAGTAGCTTCCTGAGAAAGGGTGCATGGATTATATGAATGATAGTTTTTCATTGTCTTCAATTCTTCGAACTCTTCTGTTTCTTTCAGTTTGTTTTGTTCTCTGAATCCGTGGCTATTTGTAATTATGAGGGTGGCACTAAAAAGTGCTATGTGTTTGCCATGAGCTTGTTAAATGGGCCTCAGAGGAGTTGAATAGACCGAGACCTAGATAATTGGTTGAGGGATTTCCAAGCATCAGCGTGCATAGATCGGTCTTTTCTCTTGGCTAATTTTCCCTGGAGAGGGATAATCCCAGCTCCTGCCTGTAAGGTATGAGGCTGGAGGCCAGTGTTCTAGGCACTGAATGGGATTTACACTGCAACGTGCAGACTTTCACTTCACCGTCCTATTTTCACTCCCCCCTACCCCCCATTGCTAATCCCAGCCGTACCTGCTCTTTAGCATCTTTGTTTCAGGCCCTCTAGAGAGTAAACTTGCATCATCTACTGGGAAAGGAGAAGAGCAACCACCGACCAGCTGGGCAGGACAGGGAACCTGGAACTTCAGGAGCAGCCCTCTGGCTTCAGTCTCACCTGCAGCCTCGTCTTCAGAGGCACAATTAATTCCTGCTCCTTTCTGGGGTTCTTATTTCTTGTTGAGTTCTCTGCCTGCAAGCATTGAGCAGAACTGAGAAAGTAGACAGCTAAATCAGTTATTATTCATCAGTTTTCACTGCTCAAAATGTTGGTGACATCACTCATCTGCTGTTTTAATCATCCGGTTTCCTTTTTTTATTTTCCAGTCCTTACTTACACATTTTCAAATTCAGGGCAGACACCAAGTCCTTCATGAGGAATCCACCCCCATGACCCAAACACCTCCTGCCAGGCCCCACTTCCAACACTGGGGATCACATTTCAACATGAGATCTGGAGGGGCCAAATATCCAAACCATATCAAGGTCTCTTCTTCTCTGGAGGGAAAGATGGGCCAAAGTGCCAACCAGCCTATATCCCAGCAGAGTCTCATAGTTTCAGGGCTCCCTGCTGGGGTGCAGCTCTACCACATGTGCGGGTAACATCTGGCTCTCATCACAGTGCGCTGTGAGGAATTGGGATGTGGGGAACTGGCATTATGGTGCTCTGTGAGTAACAGATGGTCTCTCTCTGATCCAGAGATCTCCTATTTCCTGTTACGATTTAGATATAAACATAAAACAACAACCCCTATTAGCGTCAGTAGCCCAAAGTTTTGCGTAGCCATATCCACTGCCTGCCATGTGAATTACATGGGGGAAACTTAATTTCTACAACTTTTCTTCAGACCTTAGCATCTAAATGACTATACCGCCAAACTCTGGCTTAAGTATGTTTTCACTCTACTACTTACAATAACCAATCATTATCTTTTTCTTGTTGTAGAGTTTCCTACTTCTGATATGAAGTGCAGTAGCCGAAGAAATGAGGTAAGATTAATAGTAGCATTTTTTACTTAAGTATTAAAAACAAAGAACTTCTGTTGTTAGAAGCAAACTCAAACAATTCAGAACCAAATCCTGAGCAATTACAGTTGACCCTTGAACAGTGCAAGGATTAGGGGCATTGATCTCCTAACCCTGTGTAGTCAAAAATCCATGTATAACTTTTGATTCCTCCAAAACATAACCAGTAATAGCCCACTGTTGACCAGAACCTTACATATAACATAAACAGTTGACTAACACATATTTTGTTTTATATGCATTATATACTGTACTCTTACAATAAAGTAAGCTAAAGAAAAGAGACTGTTATTAAGAAAATCTTAAGGAAGAGAAAATGTATTTACTATTCATTAAACGGAAGTGGATCATCATAAAAGTCTTCATCCTCATCATCTTCATGTTGAGTAGGCTGAGGAGGAAGAGAAAGAGGAGAGGCTGATCTTGTCTCAGGGATGGCAAAAGTAGAAGAAAATCCACATGTAAGTGGACCTGTGCAGTTCAAACCTCTGTTGATCAGTGGTCAACTGTGTATCTTGGAAAAATAACAACTCACATAAAGTTTGTAAAGTAGCAAATCATTCCTGGGAAAATTATGCATTGCCATGTGCGTTTCTCTGCTGAGGTATTTTCTATTCTCTACCTATATACATTTTAATTCATTTTCTTTCAATGTATCTAGAAATTAGGTAATTTTGTTTTTCCAGTGGAGGAAAGATTTTCCTAGTTGTCTAATTTGTAAGTAAAGCTTCTGTAAAGATGCTTGCAATTCTTTAGTTTTCTCCGTTTCTTTATCCTATGAGCCTTTAAAAAATACTTATATATTCAGCTTAGTGTTGTAAAAAGGAGTTTATTGGCCTGAAAAAAATTTAATAGCTGTTACTAGGGAGATGGTTAAGCACTGAAAGAATCTCTCTTTATTTCCTAAGTTAGTTTTGAGAAATGGGGAAAATCATCTCGACAATAAAACTGGGAACTATCCCCCATCTCATATACTTTTAATGCCTAAGTTTCTAGTGGCAGCTTCCTCTTCTTTCCTTCTTACACATAGGTGGCAATAGAATGAAAATTAAACACATACCTCTCAATTACCACCCATGATCCATGCCTATAAATATTCTGATATAATTAGGTATTGAATCTGTATTCACTGGAAAAGGCCACAATGAAAAGAAACATGAAGTTAAGGTATGTATAGATTAATGACCACAAAGCTAAAATATTATATTTACATTGGGTTACACTGACCTCTAGAGGTTGATAATAAAAACTAGCTTAGTTAAAAATAGCTGGAGGGCAGAGGAGAATGCAAACCCACCCAAGGGTTGCTAATTTTCAAATGTAAGGTGTGCAATTTATAAGCCACCCTTAACAGTTCAGCAAAATAATGATTAGTAATTGTGTTCCAGATACAAATTCTGAGTTGGTCAATAACTGAGTGATCATTGTGAAAGTATATGTAACAGCAGTTTTAAACTGCTCAGTGGGATTTAAAAAATCCTAATTCTATGGAAAGTAGAAAGAAAAGAGAAGAGACAATGTTTCTTATCTTAAATTTTTAACATTTACATCATAGCGCTTTCATTTAAAGATGTATAACCATTCATTTTTACATCTGTAGTAATTTTGGTTTCTTGACGTATTGTTTCACCTTGGTTCCAAAAAACTACTGGGAAAGAGATTTTTAGTTTTAAAAATTGTGATCTCCAGAATTGTTTTGTATGTTAAAGGGTTTCCTTAAGAGAATTAGAATCTGCAGGGAAAGTAATCTGGATTAGAATCTCTTCAGATTATTTTAAACCAGTTAACATATTTATATGTTTCTGCATTCATAGCTTTTTCTCTTTTTCCTTTTAGTTCCCTCTGCCACCATTGTCACTGTTGCCCATGCGATCTGGTTTCCTCACCATCCCCCCAAATCACAAGGTTCCAAAAGAGAGAGAAGGAAATATTTCAAGCCTCACATCCTTCAGGCCTAAGCTCTTAGAACCTGTCAGTCAATCGGATCAGTTTAGTCCATCCAATAGGCGGCAGGAGGCCCCCTTCAAGGTGCTGATGGATCCGAATCTCAGGTCTTCTGATAGCTCCCTTTGGTCAAGAAACATGTGCTCTTTTCGGAAGGCTAACGATTACAGACTCCCCCTGGAGATGGAGGAGAACTGGAATTCCAAGGGAATAGAAGAACATGAGAAGACTGAAATCTCTCCCTTTGAAAAGGGGCAATCTTTGGTGTCTTTTAAGAATTTTAAGGATGGCACGATTCCTGCAGATGGGGAAGAGGATATTGACGGCCATGGTAGTAAAATGAGAAAAGCAGCAGAAGAGAACTCTCAATATCTTTCACCAAGAGAGAAAGAGAGTTCAGTAGCCAGAAACCATGAACAAGATCCAGAAATTGTATGTACCTTTCCAAGCAAGCTCCAAGAAGCCCAGTATTCAGAAATAACTCCAAGCCAGGATGAAGACATGAGAAATAATAAAGCTGATTCAAAAAGCACTTCATTACGCAAGGGGGACGCAATTGAACCAAACAATATTTTAGAAGAATTTTTTGTTCTTAAAAGCTTGTCCGATGTAGTCTTTCACGACCCCACTGAAAAGCTCCCAGAAGGTCAGAGCACCGTGGAGACAAACATAAAAATATCAATAGCAGAAGCGGCCAAACCAGAAATGAATGGGCTGATGTCTCTTATCCACGTTACTTTCCCTGCAGATGGAACCCCCAAGGAACCAGCTATAGCCAAACCAAGCCTCCGAAAGAGAAAGGGAACGGTGCATAACAGCTCTAGTGTCAACATACTTGTGCACCAAGAACAGGACAAGCCTAAGGTGAATGCCCATAGAAATAAGTTGGATTCAAAGACCAAGACAAGTAACAAGACACCTCAGAATGTCGTGATTTCTACTGAAGGTTCCGTTAAGCCTCCCATGCATAAAGCCAGCATAAAAACTCAAATTTTCCCTGCTTTGGGGCTTGGTGAGCCCAGGCCTCAACAATCACCCAGGTTTCAAAGAAGAATCCCACAGATAGAAAAGAAGCAATCAGCTTACCGGACTCAGAAACCTAAAAAGCAGTTATTTCCTTGCATCTGTAAAAATCCAGGAACAAAAAAGTCATATGTTCATCTCTCTGTTCAACCAGCAGAGCCGAGACTGAATTACCTAGATCTTAAGTATAGTGACATGTTCAAAGAAATCAATTCAACTGCTAATGGACCTGGAATCTATGAGATGTTTGGGACCCCTGTTTATTGTCACATACGGGAAGCTGAACAGCATGAAAACAAGTATTACCGAGAGATATGCTCAGCCCCATCGGGCAGATGTATCACCAATAAATGTCGATCTTCACACGGTGAGCGGAGCAGCAATAGCAGAACAAGACGTCCTCAGAAAAGACCACATGTCAAAAACCCAAAGTCTTCACTTGGCATTAAGCAAGAGCACAAAGCCTTACTTTCTAAAGAAAAGGGCTGCAAGGCTGTAGGTAGCAACCTACATGACATCGAAAATGGTGATGATATTTCAGAACCAGACTGGCAGATAAAATCTTCAGGAAATGACTTTCTGTCTTCCAAAGATGAAGTTCACCCCATGAACTTGGCTCAGATTCCTGAACAGTCCACTGGACATAACAAATTCTTCCCAGTCTCAGACTTATCCATTGTTGAAGAAGTTTCTATGGAAGAGTCTACTGATGAAGGAGACCTTTCTAACCAACAAATACTCACCACGAGCCTCAGAGATCTGCAAGAACTTGAAGAGCTACATCCCCAGACCCCATTTGTCCCTTCAGAAAACAGCTGGGCAGTGCCCAGTGAGAGGAGTTCTTATAAGAACATACTGCAAGAAAAGCAGAATACAATATCTTTAGGCAAAATAAATGACTGTCAAATTTTACCTAATGATCTAGAGTTTGATACCGTTTCAGATGAGTCTAAAACACTTATGAGTTTCTCTTTCCAAGAGAAACGAGAAAGTGCATCTTCCCAGACATATCAACATTGGGGAGATTCTTTGGATCATGACAGTTTGGAAAATAAATCAACCGCATATGAAACGTTTGGGAAAACTTTAAATTATGCAAATTTGATTTCCCAAGAAATCCTGGAGTCCTTGAAGAATGAAGAATTGACAGATGAACTATTAGGTTGTCTAGCTGCAGAATTATTAGCTCTTGATGAGAAAGACAACAACTCTTGCCAAATAATGGCAAATGAAACAGATCCTGAAAACCTAAATCTTGTTCTTAGTAGGAAAGGAAATACCACAAAAGAATTGGGCAGAGAGACAACAAATGTCAAAATACAGGTTGGTATCATTAGAATCAGAGATTGATTCATTGGGAGGGGAAGGCCCTCAGAGACAATCTGGTTCAAATATTTTCTTTTTTTCTTTGTTTTCTTTTTTTCTTTCTTTTCTTTTCTTGTCTTGTTTTAGAGAGAAAGAGAGTCTCTCTCTGTCACCCAGGCTGGAGTACAGTGGCATGATCATAGCTCACTGTAACCTTGAACTTCTGGGCTCAAGCAATCCTCCTGCCTCAGCCTCCTAGGTAGTTGGGACGATAGGCATGGGCTACTATGCCCAGCTAATGTTTTTTTTTTTTAGAGACAGGATCTCACTATGTTGCCCAGGCTAGTTAGTCTTCAACTCCTAGCCTCAAGCGATCCTCTTGCTTCTGCCTCCCAAAGTACTGGGATTACAGGCGTGAACCACTGAGCTTGGCCCAAATCCCTCATTTGCAAATGAGGAATTATAAACCTTAAGCAATTAAATATTATAGCTTCTTAAAGGTCTCATTGTTTGATCACAAGGTTGGAATTCCAGGTCCCTTGGCTCCCAGGCTAAGATGTTTTCATTATGCTGCCTTACTTCCGGAATTTAGCTAGCTTGGCACTGCAATGAAATGGCTTTGGATACATTAATATAGCAAAATTATTTAAATAGGTCAGTATTTTATTCATTGATGACATATTCAATCAATAGCAGATAATCTTCAGCTATCAGCAGAGAGATAATCATAGGCAAAGCATTTTGCTCTAGGTGGTGTGTATCTCAGAAAGAAGTGAACACGGCTCCTAAAGGAGCTCACCATTCCATTCATATGAAGACATGAAAGGTGCCTTTCCCAACGAGTCCCTGCACCTGAGCACTTGCTCTCAGATGTAGGAACATAGTAGTATAAAAGATTCAGCCATTGCTCTTAAGGAAGCATAACCAAAAATGCTGGAAAATTTTTTTTGCTTGGCAGGGGAGTGGAAGGGGGGTGAGGAAGCAGAATATCAACAGATGGTTGGGTTTTGTTTGTTTTAATTTTCACTGAAGTACATGAGCCTCCTACTCAAATTTTAAAGACAGAAACAGTAGGTAAGCCGAAATGTTATTTATTGAACACTAACTCAGATTATATCACCCTATGTCCACACTATATCAGGATCAGGAATAATTGCTTTAAATAGTTGATCAGAAGAACACATCAGATAAATAATTATACCAATTATACCAGAGCTAGGTTTATTGAGAACTTACCACATATAAGTGGGACACATTGTGTTCTCTCCTTTTATGCTTCATAATAGCTCTGTAAGTACTATAGGTACTAATGTGTCCCCATTTTGTAGATGAGGAAACTGAGGCTCAGAAAATCATCCAGCTAGTGAGTGGTGTGGTCAGGCATTCTGACTCCAGCCCCACACCCTTAATCACTAGCCAGTGGGAATATATCTTGTCCTAAAAGGCCAGCTTCTCCCTCAGGCTGAACTGAGTCTCTGCTGGGGGGGGGGGTGGATAGTGATTTGGAGACGCTGGATTGGAAATGGGGCGCTGTGTGTGCACGCCTGTGCATCGGAGGTGGGCCTCGCACTCTGCCATTTCAATCTGAAGAAGAGTTCACAAGTCAGTAAATATAATCAGCCCTTCACTCCACCCTGCGAGCGTAGAGTCAAAAACTGCCCTTTTGTGACCTTTGCTTTTCCAAGCAATCCTTAAATTTCAGTTTGGATAGAAACAAGTGGATGAGTAGGAAGAACCCAAATGGCCTTTTGGAGGCACATGAGCACTGCGAGGAAGGTGACCCTGCAGGCTCTCTTGTTCCTGGAGGGCCTTCACCATGCCTCTGCATCACCATCATTATTCATTTTTAAGATTACTAGTGGAGGAGATCAACATGAAGCATTTGGGATCTTGATCAACCAATTGGAAAAAGTGGTCTAAGTTCTGCAAAGGGACACTTGTTCCCTGCCTCTAAGGCAGTGCCTCCCACAGTTCACTGTGAACACGACTCTCGGGCATCCAGCGTGTCTGGGGCCGGAGGTCCTGCAGGTCTGACAAGTGTCCAGGCGATGCCGGTGCAGCTGCTCTGCAGATTCTTCTCTGAGCAGCAAGGATCCTCAGGACCGTGGGCCCTCAGTCCATTGCGGATGGCCTTGACCATCACAATTGTTTGCGACGGGTGTGTAGAGGTGGGGGTGTGTGTGAGAGAGAGTGAGACAGGGAGAAAGAGTGAGAGAGGGAGAAGGAGAATATCTGCATGCATATTTGTGATGTGTGTTGTGTGTAAATGTGTACATTTGTTTGCATATCTATGTATATAAGTGGAAACATATATGCTTATGTATGTATGTACGCATGGGAAATGAAACACAGACAAAGGCTGCTTATTCCGTTTGCAAGGCAGTCAGCCACCACCACGTGCATTTTGGCAGAGACTCAAAGGCAGGCAGAGGAGCAGTAAAGCTTCATGGTGGACAAAAGGAAAGGCTTTTGGGTGCCCTGACTGGAGGCTGTTGGCGTGGGGAAGCTCTAGGTGGCTAAATCGAAGTGGGGTATCCTCACGGATTGGTAAGGGGTACACGTTTGGCTTTCTCTAATTGGAACTACATTAGAAGTAGGGACAAAAAACAGAGAAACTGCCAGTTGGTGGTCAAACCTGCTGTTTGGGGCTGGTTGTTCCATGGGTTATTGTTTGCTAGAGATACTAACTAGTCTGACTTTCTATATGTCTGGCTTGAAGATGGTAAACTGGCTTCCTGGTCTGGATGCAGTAGATAATGGGTTGATTTCCTGGGCTGGTTGCTGCAGATTATAGATCAGACAGAGTTCTATGTTTATATATGGTCTAGTCATTGTGAGTTTGTATATTATCTCTTGGTATATCTATGCATGTGTATTTGTGATGTACATGTGTGCATGTGTGTTTATGGGTCACATATCATTTACATTTATGTGTATGTACATGTGTGTGAATGCATGTATAAATAGCCTGTATATGAGTATGTGTCTCTGTGTACATGTGTCCACTATGGATATGTTTCTCATTCTGAACTTCTCTATGTGTTTAGGAGCAAGGTGACCAGGATAATGGGAATTTTGAAGAGAAAGGTCAGGGTAGGGGCCTGAGGAGACACTAACATATTCTCTCATGATAGAGACCTTGGGAATGGTCATTCCTTTTTTTCTTTTTTTTTTGAGGCAGAGTCTCACTCTATTACCTGGGCTAGAGTACCATGGCATCAGCCTAGCTCACAGCGACCTCAAACTCCTAGGCTCAAGCAATCCTTCTGGCTCAGTCTCCTGAGTAGCTGGGACTACAGGCATATACCACCATGCCCGGCTAAATTTTTCTATATATTTTTAGTTGGCCCACTGATTTTTTTCTATTTTAGTAGAGATGGAGTCTTGCTCTTGCTCAGGCTGGTCTCGAACTACTGAACTCAAACGATCCACCCACCTCAGCCTCCCAGAGTACTAGGATTACAGGTGTGAGCCACCACGCCCAGTCAAGGGAAAGGTCATTCTTAAAAGACTTTGATTGGCAACCTGCAGGCCCATGTGGGCCCAGAGATAAATAGGTCTAAGACCGCCCCTAATAAAACATACAAAGTAAAACGTAACTTTAAATCTGTACAATCAACAAGGCTGAAGTATACAACTAAGATATACTACTTGGTCATTTTGGGGAAATACATGTCTCCGGAAGTTACCCACAAACAGTAAGAATGGCCATGGACAGGCACATTTGAAAGGAAGACTCTACTCTCCACCCCTTCTCGCCATCTTAACAACTCAGAGTTTAATAGTGATCTTTCTTTTTGTCTCATCTTCCAGAGGCATAGTAATGGGTTCAGGATATATGACAGGGAGGAGAAATTTCTCAACTCACAGGAAAAGAAGACATTTTCTGAAAATAGTGTAAAGTATGAAGAACCCATCCTGTGGACCAAGGGCGAGATCCTTGGGAAGGGAGCCTACGGCACAGTAAGTTAAAATGCAAACTTGAAATCAGAACTCCCCACCCCCTCTCGACCCCTTGCCCCACTCCTCGAAAGCTCTGTTTTGCTTAGCAACTTTTCAGTTGAATGTAACAGAAAACCCAGCCCAAACTGGCGTGAGGGAAAGGACGTTCATGGCTTTATGCTACTGAAAGGTCTGGAATAGGTCTGGGTCCGGGCTCAGGTGGTTTCAGGGGTCAGACATCAGGACCTGGTCTCTCTATCTCTCTGTCTGGCTTTCCTTCTAAGGCTCCATGGGGTGGTACAATGGCCATTGCATTTCTAGTCTCTCATTTTTCCAGGTTCAAGTTCAGTGGGAAAGGAATCTCTTCTTTTAACAACTCAATATGTTACTGGAAGTTGGGAGTATCATTACTGGATTGTAAAAACAAAAGATGTTCCCTCTGTTTTGTGAATTGCATAACTATCAGTGTGCAGGGGTTGGGGCGATGAAGAGAGAGGCAGGTTAATGGGTACAAGCATATAGTTAGATAGAAGGAATAAGTTCTAGTGTTCAATAGCACAGTTGGGCAACTATAAGAATAATATGTTGTATATTTTAAAAGAGCTGGAAGAAAAGATTTGAAATGTTTCCAACACAAAGAAAATGATAAATATGTAAGCTGGTAGATATCCTAAATAACCTGACTTGATCATTACACATTCTATACATGTATCAAAATATCACATGTACCCCATAAATATGTACAAATATCATGTATATAAAAAAAGACCATACAAAGTCCTAGCACTTTCAGCCAGGTGCAATGGCTCATGCCTGTGAGCCCAGAACTTTGGGCCACTAAGGTGGGAGGATCACTTGAGACAAGCCTGGGCAACATAGCAAGACCCTAACTCTATAAAAACATTAAAAAATTTTTTTAAGTTAAAAATTACGCACTAGCATTATTTCCTTTTCTTTTCTTCTTTCCTTCCTTCCTTTCTTTCTTTCTCTTTCTTTCTTTCTTTCTTTCTTTCTTTCTTTCTTTCTTTCTTTCTTTCTTTCTTTCTTTCTTTCTTTCTTTCTTTCTAGACAGAGTCTCGCTCTGTCACCCTGGCTAGATTGCAATGGCATCATCATAGCTCACTGCAACCTCAAACTCCTGGGCTCATCCAATCCTCCTGCCTCAGCCTCCCAAGTAGCTGGGATTACAGGTGTGCACCACTGTATGCCAACATGCTCAGCTAATTTTTCTATTTTTTGTAGCATCGGGGTCTCGCTCTTGCTCAGGCTGGTCTTAAACTCCTGAGCTTAAGTGATCCTCCCACCTCAGCCTTCCAGAGTGCTAGGATTATAAGTGTGAGCCACCACACCCAGCAGTCTTAGCACTTTAGATAGTTATTCACAGAGATGGGTAAAGAAAACATGCCCTCAAATAAGATCTGTGCTGTCTTTAGTTGGGGACATTTCAGGATTCAGTGAGAAGGTGGGAAGACACAAAACCACTGAGATCACATCATGAGGGTGACTGCTAGGACCTGCCTACTCTCTCTCCAGAGAGCTTGAGAGTTGGACTAGCCCTATTTCATTTATTCTGTGAGGAGCGTTCCCAAACCACCATCTCATGTAGTCATCATGGAAATCTGTGAGGCAAGTATTGGTACCTCAGTTTTATAGATGAGAAAAACTGAAGTCAAAAAGTTTACACAACTTACTCCAAGTTATACAGCTGGGGACAGGTGAAGCCAGGATTCTAGCCAACCCAAGCCACTTGACTTCAAACCAATATGATATCCATTCACCATGTTGCTCATCCTCATCTTGTCTCCACTGAAACACTGAATTTGCTTAACTACTTTGCATTTAGGTGGGGAGGTATCAATGTAGAGAAAGACAAGGGTTTGGGAAGAGAAGGGAAAGTCAAGTGTGACATGAGGCATTTTGTGAACAAGTTATGCCATTTACACTTAAATAATAAGATACTGGTTTGCTTCTAGGTATACTGTGGTCTCACTAGCCAAGGGCAGCTAATAGCTGTAAAACAGGTAGCTTTGGACACCTCTGATAAATTAGCTACTGAAAAAGAATACCAGAAACTACAGGAAGAAGTAGATTTACTCAAAGCCCTGAAACATGTCAACATTGTGGCCTATTTGGGAACATGCCTGGAAGAGAATACTGTGAGCATTTTCATGGAATTTGTTCCTGGCGGCTCCATCTCTAGTATTATAAATCGTTTTGGGCCATTGCCTGAGATGGTGTTCTGTAAATATACGGAACAAATTCTGCAAGGTGTTGCTTATCTCCATGAGAACTGTGTGGTGCATCGAGATATCAAAGGAAATAACGTTATGCTCATGCCAACTGGAATAATAAAGCTGATTGATTTTGGCTGTGCCAAGCGTTTGGCCTGGGCGGGATTAAATGGCACCCATAGTGACATGCTCAAGTCCATGCATGGGACTCCATATTGGATGGCCCCAGAAGTCATCAACGAGTCTGGCTATGGGAGGAAGTCGGATATCTGGAGCATTGGCTGCACTGTGTTTGAGATGGCCACGGGCAAGCCTCCCCTGGCTTCCATGGGCAGGATGGCGGCCATGTTTTACATCGGAGCGCACCGAGGGCTGATGCCTCCTTTGCCAGACCGCTTCTCGGAAGACGCAGCAGACTTCGTGCGCGTGTGCCTAACCAGGTAAGAAACTGAAAGCAGTAGGGGGAGGATAAATGCCCAGAGATTCCAAGCAGCTGACATTTCCCCTGCAATTTACGGCCCATTAAAAGCTCTGTTTTTGGTTATGAAATCAAGTAGGGACTGATTCTGTGCTGGAAGTAATCGGGATTGGCCATATTGGACGATTGTGTCCATTTTCGAGGCAGGGTGTAGGGGCAATGCTTCAGATAGAAAGTGCCACAGTTAAATGTCTTATCAAGTCCTGACAGTACTTCCCCAAATCAACAGGGGTTAGCAAGATTTGCTAAAGATCTACTTATTTACCAATGGGGCATCTTCCTAGAAACTGGCTGTGGTGAAATAATGTCACCTTCCATTTAAAGTGAAGGGAAATTTTGAGCTAAAGAACAAATCCCTAATTGGAGACTTCAAGCACCAAGTGGAGCAGTGGTAGAGGAAGCAGAAAAGCCCTAGAAAACTGCCTGCCTGTTTTCCCCTTCCTTACCCTGTCTCATGTATAGAAATTTAAATTCCGTGTAAAATGTTAGCATCGTAAGGGACCATAGATATTAACTAGTGCCATGGTTTTCAAATTTTCAGCTAGGTATCCTCTGCTCATAAAATCTTAATTCAAAGAATAAAACATATAAAAGCAGAGAGATGGCTCTGGTTAAACTGTGTGTGTACACGTGTGTGCGGTGGGAGGGCTAGAGAGTGGGGCTGGGCTGCTGGAGCCCACTCTAGGATCATGCACAGCAGCCCAAAACGTACCGCCCAATGAGGCTCGCAGAGACCAAGGCCCCTGGCCCCTAACGGTTTGCTGAAAAATTACTGATATAAGGTAGATTAATAGGAGAAAAGACACAAATGTATTTAACATGCATACACAGGAGCCTTCAGAATGAAGACCCAAAGGTCCAGGGGAACTTGTCCATTTTTATGCTTAGATTCAATAAGGTATAGACAGCCATGCAGAAATATGATTGAACACAAAGGGTATGATCTAACGCTGAGTAGGGAAACCCAGCAAGGTCTGTCTGTCTAGATTCTTCTTGGCCTCTCTGAGCAGCATTCCTTCCTTCTGGGCGTGGGGCAGGGCCCGCTTTAGAATGGGGGTCTTAAGACCTACAGTCAAACAAGCGAGGCTGGATAATTTCTTTATGGCCAGTTTTTATATACAATAATTTTGGGTTTTATGGCTGGCTTTCAGGAAAGAGGGTTCTGGTTTTTATGACCTGCCTTGGGTCATAGACTCTAGTTTCCATGGTTAGCCTCAGGGGAGAATGGGACTGAGAGGCAGGAGGACAGCAGGTGATCAGAGAAAAACTTTGCCTTCTGAGGCCTTCTTTGGGCTGCTGCTTTCTGAGCCCCAACAGGCTGAACACTTAGTCGGAGGACAAGTCAGTCCTGAGACTTGAACTCAATTTCCTGTCTTTCAAGGAAGCATGCTTTCTCATCCCGAGATGAAAAACTCTAGTGCCCCACCTTTTAGCGAGCCCGAGTGGCGACCCACAACTGTAGGGGGTTCATTTTTGCCTTTCTGGATAAATCTCAGAATCCACAGGTCTCCCTGTGTGCCAGTAAATGTGCCTTTCTCTTTTAGCCTCTCTGTCTCCTTCCCCTAGCACATGTGTATCAGTCGGCCTGTCCTGGCTGGTCTCAGGATGATTGCACAGGCCAGGGCAGGAACACATACCCCAGCGGTACGATTCTGGGCACTGGTAGATGCAGAGACACCTTTAGGTGTCCCAGCGTGGACTTTGTGGACAGAGCTCTAGACACAGAGATGTCCCCCTCCTCCAAAAAAATCCAAGCCCACAAAAGGGACATAAAGGTGTTGGAATATCAAATATCATGTGGACTAGTTTTAGAGATTGGTTTTAGCACCTACAACTACTATAGTTGCTTTGTTCTGATTTTAATATATACCTATTATTGACTCACAGCTAGAAACCACTTGCTATTCTTGTTTTCTTTCAAGTCGGCATTACACACACACAAAGAGCTTTAAAGAGAAAGGGCGAATATGGCCCTCCTTTTGAACCTTTGCATCATAAACTGAGCAAGACACAACCTGCACCACTAATTATAAATTAACAGGGTTGTTGTGAAGGGTAAGTGAAATGGTGTATGTAAATTGCTTAGCAGAGTATGGGGCACACAATTAGGACTTCATAGTTAATAATGATTAGGGAGAACACTAACACACCTTACCTAATTAGTGTCATGTAAAAACATATAATTACCTCCTGAAATTCTATAGCAAAGACCCTAAGGACTCTAGCATCTCACCTGATATCAATAGCAATTCTCCTTGGAGGTGTGGATAACCAGAAATTAAAGGATGAGGCACTCTTAAAGATGTAGAAACAGGAGTGATCAGGCATAGGCCAGAAGCAAGGTCTAAATAGACTCGAATGAGCTTGGGGAGGCAGTGAGAAATGGCATGAGTGTGGCTTTTGCTGTGAGCAGCCTAAGCCCTGGGAAGTCAGGCTAAGGTGTTCAGCTGTGTAGCAGGCGCAGGGGGCTGAGAAGGATTTGGGGTAGAGAATGCCGGAGGAGAGGTCTTCTGGAAGGCGGTCAGACGCAGTGGCAGTGCACTGAAGGCCTGCAATGGATGCTGCGGGACTAGACTGCCATGCAGGAACCCGGAGCTTTGTTTGACTCGGATGGTGGCAGACGCAGTAAAGAGGATTCTAGACAATTTCAGAGGAAGGTGAATCAGGCCTTGGTAATGGAGAAGGATGGTGGGGTTTCATGGTTTTGAGTCCGATAGTGGAAGAAGTAATAGAAAATGGTGAGAAAGAAACTGGGGAAGAAGTTTAAAAAAGACCCCCACCCCCACCCCTTTCATCTAAGGAGACATTTGAAGCTATGGAATCAGAACTCAGAAAAGGGATTAAGATTGGAGGCACATATTTAAAAACCATTATAAGGCTGATAGCTATAGTTATGAAAAAATTACAGTGCCGAGGAAAATGTTTTTGAAAATGCTCACGGGGGCAGATAACAGATCATGCACGGCATCAAGTCTAGCACATATTGGAGAAAAGCAGGGAGGGAGGAAAGAAGAGAGGGAGGGCAGTTGCTCCAGGTGAGACAAGAACCAAGAGAGCAGAATTCCCCATAAATAGGCAGGGAGTTGCAGGCAGGAGGGAGTAGTGAATAGTTCAAATGCTGCAGAGATGACAAGAAGGATGAGCTCGTTACATGTGGTTAATTTCAAGAGGGCGATTTCTACAGAGGAGTGGGCCAAATGGTTAAGAATTTAGGAGACATCGGGAAGAAGTCACCGGGCGTGGCCATGTTAGAGACATTTGGCAGGAATGAAAGAAACAGGATGGCAGCTAGAAATGACAGCCAGGTCAAGGAGATGATTTGCAAAAGGAAGAGATTTCTGCATATTTTGAAGGCAGGAGAAAGAGCCTCCAGATGGTGTGAGGTTTTCATCTTGAAATAACACATAAAATTGAAATACTTTTCAAAGTATTTTATTTTTATTTCCATTTACACCTGGAAAATGACCTGGTGGTCATTTTATCAAAAGAGGAGGGGCTTTAAGAGGGCCGATGGAGGCATCTGACACTCACCTCCTCCACAAGGAAGAACCAAAATAGCAAGTAGATAATCGTACTTCAAATACAGCATCGCAGAGAGAACGCTGGAATGCACCAGAGAGGAGACACCTGAGGCAGGAGCGAGCATGGAGGCCGCCAACTTAGTGGGGATTGGCTAGGAGCCTGAAAAGGGTCCCCAGGGAGGGGAAAGGGTAAGTGAGAGACCCCCAACTTCCACATTCACACCTGGACTCCTGCAGTCCTAGCCCCTGGGGCCCTGAGACCAGCGCCTGGAGACGGCCTGACAGCTTGGCTCCAGAGAGGGGGCTCACACCGGGCCCCCACACACACCCTGAGTCCTAAGCAGCTGCAGCACAGTGCCATTTTGAGAGCCCAGCCCCCCTAGACTGCATCCTGCCCAACAGCCCTTCGCCCCCGCATCCCTGAAGCCCCACCCACACCTCCCTGTGTCCACTCAGAGGGCTGCGGCAGCACGACGCCAGTTGTACCCAGTGGAGCAGCAGTGTCCCAGCCCTGAGCTCACACAGTGTCCTGCACCGTGGGGAAAGGGCAGTGCGGTGCACCGGAGGGGCCGCCCCAGGCCACGTGTGCTCCCCAGAGCCTGAGAACTGCCCACCTGGGGCAGCCATCACAGACAGCGACCCCACTCCCACCAGCAGCAAGGCTGCCAGGCACACGCTCTGAGGGCAGTCTGGGATCTTCTATTTGGCTTTGGCAAGAGTAATCCTTTTGAACTGGGGCAAATCCAGAACAGAAATAATGTGAGCAGAATCTGTAAAGGGACTTTTCTTTTTTTGAGCTAAATCTTGTGATTAAGACTTTAGGCTGGGTGCAGTGGCTCACACTTATAATCCTAGCACTTTGAGAGGCCGAAGTGGAAGGATTGCCTGAGCCCAGGAATTCAAGACCAGCCTGGGCAACACAGTGAGACCCTGTCCCTACAAAAAAATTTAAAAGTTAGCCAGGAGTGGTGGTGTGCATCTGTAGTTCTAGCTACATGGGAGGATCACTTGAGGAGTTTGAGGTTGCAATGAGCTATGATGATGCCACTGCACTCTAGCCTGGCTGACAGACCAAGACCCTGTCTACAAATGGCCGGCAGGTACATGAAAAAGCTCAACATCACTAATCATAAGGAAAATGCAAATCAAAACCACAATGAGATATCATCTTACCCCAGTTAGAATGACTATTATCAAAACCACCCCAAAAAACAGATTCTAGTGAAGAAAAGGGAACACTTTTACACGGTTGATGGAAATGTAATTTAGTACAGGTATTGCGAAAAACAGTATGGAGAGTTCTCAAAAAACTAAAAATAAAACTACCATATACGATTCAGCAATTCCACCACTGGGTATTTATCCAAAGGAAAGGAAATCAGTATTTCAAAGCCATACCCGCACTCTCATGCTCACTGCAGCACTATTCACAATTGCAAAGATATGGAATCGGCTTAAGTGTCCAGGCATAGAAAGACATATTTTGCAAGTTTTCACTCACATATGAGAACTTAAAGTTGATCTCATGGAGGTAGAGAGTAGAATGAAAGTTACCGGAGGCTGGGAAGGGTGTGTGTGGGTGGGGCTGGGGAGGTAAAGAGAGATTGATTAATGTGCACAAAGATAGAGTTGCATAGAAGGATAAAGTTCTAATATTCAATAACATAGTAGGGTGAATATTCAATAACATAGTAGGGTGACTATAATTAACAACAACGTATTCTACATTTCAAAATGCTGGAAGAGAGGACTTGAATGTTTCCACATGTAGAATTGTATACTCTGAGGTAATGGATTCCTAATACCCTGACTTGAGCATTACATTCTATGCATGTGACATACCATAATTCTAAAATGTAATAATTATATATCAATAAAAGAAGTGGTTTACAATGTGCTGCTTGGGTAAATTAATTTGTCTGTTACTCTTACTTTATTATCTAAAATATTACTCCATGGATAGCCAATTTTAACCAAAAGAATTGCCTTTTAAAGCGCCATTGCAGCGTAATATGACTGTTTCGTAAGCTCATTTGGATTCCATCTCATTTTTCATTTGATAAATTCTCCAAAGCTTCTTTCTTTAAGAAAAAAAACAAAACCATACTGAGTATTGGTCTCCCTTTATTTCCTGTTCATCCAAGAGTGCCCAAAATGAGATTATTTCAATTAATCACCAAAGCACATTTAAATGTCTCCTTTTTAAAGTCTTTGCAATTCTCGATTCTAATGCCTCTTTTAAAAGTAAATTTAATGCTAATTAAAAGTGCAGTAAACTGTATACCTAAAAGTCTGACTTTTACTGTGTATAAATTATGCTCCAAATAAATTGAAAACAGTGGAAAAGTAGGACCTATTTTTAAACCACAATGGTGGTGTAAAAAAAAAACCACCATTTTTTAAATTACCATGCCAGTGTTTAAAATCTGTGTAGGCTGGGTGCAGTGGCTCACACCGTAATCCCAGCACTTTGGGAGGCCGAGATGGGAGGACTCACTTGAAGCCCCAGGAGTTTGAGCCAGGCTGGAGCAAGCCAGACCCTCTTGCTACTAAATAGAAATTATCGGGCATGGTTGTGTTCCTGTAGTACCAGTATTTGGAGAGGCTGAGGCAGGAGCATCACTTGAGCCAAGGAGTTGAGGCTGCAGTGAGCTATGATGACACCACTGCACTTTAGCCCAACAGACAGAGCAAGACCTTGACTCAAAAAAAAAAAAAAAAAAAAAAAGGCTGTGAATATATTATTCTTCAGACTTAGGTAATTACCTCCATTTCTATTTGTTTTCTATCCTAAGTTTGCTTTGTTGAAGCAGATCTGGTTGACAAGTCATTACTGGGTGCTGCTTCTAATGGGTTTTTCTCTTCTTATGGGACCGATGAGCGACCTTCTGCCCTTCAGCTCCTGCAGCACTCCTTCTTGAAGAGAGGTCACTGAACACACATCAAGACTTTCTTCCCAGTTCCACTGCAGATGCTCCCTTATTGCTTAACTGTGGGGAATGATGGCTAAGGGACTTTGGTTTTCCTACTGGAAATTCAATCTAACCCAATTTAACCAGATCCTGCAGTGCCACTAACCAAAGGTTTTAGTTTACATATTAGCTTCCTCAAGCTTCAGGCATGATTACCCATATGTATGAGAAAAGAATTTTCTTAATAATTAACAAAACAATCCTATCCAGGTTACAGTTTGATTTTTCTAAGGAACAATCCTATCGTTTATGAGTATTCCTTTCATTTTTGGCCTGTTCTGTCAATTTTAATGTTATTAGTTAAAATAAATTGTGAAAGCAACTTATATTTTCTTCCTTGGTGAGTAAAGATGCTTACTTAATTCTTGTAAAGGGGACCAGAGGAAGGCAAGAAGGTAGGGCTGGGTGCGGTGGCTCAGGTCTATAATGCCAGCACTTTTGGAGTCCGAGGGGGGAGGATCACTTGAGCCCAGGAGTTCAAGATCAGCCTGGGCAATAAAACAACAATCTTTCTCTAAAAAAAAAATATTTCAGACCACACACACACACACACACACAAAAGGAAAGCCAGAAGGTAAGTTAAAAGAGCTGCCAGAGCCTGTTTGCTTTGGCAGCAAATTTAACCTTAAAGATTCTAGGAGCCTGAAGAACTCACACGAGGAGGTAAGAGCCTTGGCATTTCATTATCAGGGGTTCCCAAACTCCTCAGAAGTCTCCAAGAAGTTGGGCTACTCAAGGTGACACCATAAACCTCAGGCTGCTTTCCCTGTAATTTACTTGCAATATGACTTGAGGTCTTCACCTATTTGTAGTGAATTAGGCCATTACCACTTCTGTAACTAGCTAAGCCTAAGCCAGGTGGCAGGACAAAAGCTAGGTCTGATAAGGGCAGAATGGGTCATGACACAAACTTTTCCGGAGAACTCTGCTCATTTCACCTAAATGGTTATCCTCGCCGAAGGCATTCTCCAAACATTTTGATTTTCTGAATGTTGGTAAACCTCACAGAAGTGAGCAAGGATGAGAGTTGTGAGAATGATTACAAGCCTTTTTAAGTTAGTGGACTAAGCCTTTTTGATAGGTTCCTATTGCTGCTGAATTCACTTATTGACTAAATTTCATTCGCATTGTTTAAGCTATAGTCACAGAGTTTTTTAGTGGCTGTCATCATTTCAAGGTGGCACAAGTACAAATTTACTTTAGGTGTAATCTAACACTTGTATCAGGCTTTGTCAAAACCAAACTTCTGCTTTAGTTTTTATGAAATAAATGTGAAATGCAGTCCAGGTGAGGTAAAAGCAAATTATACTTTGGCTAACAGATAACATTAAATGAGTCTTTGTGGGACTATCTTCTTTCTCTCAAATGTGTACATTCTTTTTTCATATTTGATTAAGAATTTAAGGGATGAATGTGTCCCTTATTTTACTTACTTGCATATCAATATGACCAGAAATAATAATTTTGAAAATATAGGGCTTAATTTTTTATTTCATTTTGGAGAGATCTTCAACATTCTTTAAAATCTAGATGTTCCATTGGATTTTGGAGCAATTAACTATTTACATTCGAGCTTGTTAAACTCTATGGGGAAAGAACAGGAGTAACACACATTTGTCCTGTGTATACAGATCACAGTAATGGACATATAAAGTTGGTGTTAGCAAATCTACCCTTCTTCTATTGAAATATAAGAATACTGAATACAATTTTGGAGTACTAAACAGAACCTTCAAAAGGCTTAAGTTTTCAACAGGCAAGCCTGATCCTAAGAGCTTTCTGTTGTTTTCATTGTTCATTGTATCTAAGATGTGACCAATTGTTTGGAACTACCTTTTTCATTATTATTGTCCAGAGGTGTGCTGCCATTGTACCTTCTCTTTGGAGAAGAGGTTGTGAATGCAGAGACAGGTAGAAACTGGGAGTGAAACTGCCCATATTAAAATAAGGTAAGGCCATAGGCAGAAGTAGTGATAAAAGTCTGATTTCTATAAAGTATAGCCAAAAGTTAACCAGCCATTGTCCCCTAACTTCCCTACTGCTGTAACTACTTACTACTCAAGCAACACATATCCTCCTTGACCAGGGCAAGATTTGTGATTTTCCCAACAGCTTCTATAGATAGCATCACCATTGTAAAACCTAACACTGCTCTTTGAGGTGTGTCTTCCAGCCTCTGCATTCAGGAGGGACCCACTGAAGTCAACCAGACCTGTGGACATGCATGGGAACTGATGCAACAAGTTCTGAGACCCCCCTACTCAGGAAATGTCTCAGCCAAGAAGACAATTTCTGCTTCCCAACACTATGAGTTCATCCCCAGGCAATTAGCAAACACAATTCCCTAAACCTTTGTTCACCAAACCACCTTTAAACAATCTTAGCCTCCAAATTCTTGGGGATATGGATTTCTATCTCCTGCCAAACGCCTTGCAATATTAAACTTTTCCTTTGCTGCACCTCCTACTGTATCAGTATATTGCCCTTTATCTGGGCAGCAGGCAAGGGACCCAGATGGGTGGGAAAAAATTGGGGGGCTCATCCAGGATCACCCTTATGGGTTCCAGCCTACAGCTCTGCAGCCTCTCGCTGGTGGTGCAGACTTAGGGGTGTGGGGAGGCTGAGGCAGGAAGATAGCCTGAGCCCAGAAGTGTGAGGTTGCAGTGAGCTATGATGATGCCACTGCACTCTACCCATGGCGACAGATACAGATTGTGTCTCAAAAAATAAATAAATAAACAAAACAAAATAAAAGCTTGGCTTGTGGCAAAGAAACAGTTTTAGGGACTGGAAAAACACCTTTGGTGAATATTCCAAGTGCATCCCACACCCTTTCCCCACCCGTCTTCTGATTTGTCTGCTTCTTTTGGAGGATTTGTTGCCTTTCATGGGTCTTGGTCATCTTTCCTCTTAAGGAAAAGAGGTAAGTCTCCTCTTGAAGCAGTTTCTACCCTTTTGGATGGAGAATAGGGGACCTGTCTGGAAGAATACTCTTGAGAACTTTCAGGTTGGAACTTTGTTTTGCAAAGCTATTTTCCCATTTGTTTCCCATTTGATCTGTCCTGTTTGTTTACGTTAGATGTGCTTCCTCTGTTTATGTTCAATGGGTCTTTGTTTATGTCTGAATCTTTTGGTGGGTGTGGTAATCATTCACTTGATTGTGGCACCCTCTTGTGTCCCCGTGCCGCCTGTCTGCTTCGTTCCCTAAGACGTGTCCTGGAGGGCGAAGTGAGGAGCTCCCCACAGCCTGTGAGATCCTCAGGTGAATTTTTGAAGGGGAAGTGCTGGAAAAACCGGCGTGGGTCCGTGGTCTCTGTCCGCTGTCTTTTTGAGTGTGTCCTTAAAATTCTTCCCCCTCGGCAACATACAGCGGAGCCGCTTTTTGTTCCCTGTCCTGGCAAAGCCTCTCGCTGGGATGCCTGGGTTTTTCTGCGGGAAGTGCTGGACCGCGAAGGCATGAAGCGCCCCCCTCTGGCATGTTGGGCTTCCTATCAGGCAGAGAGAATTCAATACATTCGATATTTGATCTGGGTCTGGTCTAGGGGCATCCCTACAAATCACTGGAGACTCCCTTGCAGGAGCTAGAGACAGATTTGTAGCAGACAGTGAATAGTATGGAGAGCCAGGTGTCCGCATGCCAAGGAGAGCCGGCTGGGAGGCCTCCTATGAAGCGGAACCTTTTTGAATTAACAACCCCCCCCCCTCCACACACACACACACTAGAAAACAGTTTTCCTTTGTAACACAGCTTGGCCACAATACTCAATAGGGCTGGAAGAACTGTGGCCAGCAAATGGCTCCCTTAACTATAATATAATTCTACAGTTAGAGTTATTCTGTAACAGAGTAGAAAAATGGGATGAGATCCCCTATGTGAAGTGTTTTATGCTACTTTGGCAAAATAACCCAGTGCAAAAGTGATGTATGGTTATGATTCAAAAGGCTAGCGATGAGAAAAAGCCTATGTTGTATGAACTCCAAGAAAAGGATGATACTGTGATAACCTGGTAAATGAGCCATCAGCTCTCCCTCCCCCTCCTTATGGAGGGGCTGGAGGTGTGTCCCAAGCCCCTGAACCAGGGTCCCCACCTCCACAGGGCCAGCGCCAGGGCAACAGGAATGATCTCTCCCTCCCACACTGGATAGGGAACCCAATTTGGTCAAGTGCCACAGTAGCTCCTGGAGGGCAATCTCCTCTTCAGCAGATATCTACAGGGGGCATTGATGCCGTCATAGGTCAGCCCATGGGGCTTCTCTGGGCCCACTCTATGTTCTCCACCTCTGACTTGTTTAATTGGAAAAATAACATGCCTATGTAGCACAACAAACTGAGGAAAATGGAAAGCTTGCTTTCCTCAATGTTTGCAACCCACAACCCCACTTGGGCAGAAGTTCAGAATCTGCTTAACATTTTACTGACCTCCAAGGAACAGAGAGTGGTTCTAGATGAGGCCAGGGAAAAAGCAGACCACACGCACGCCTGCTGACTGTCCCAGTACCCTGGTAAGGACAACTGCTCAGATTGCAGTGCCCACCTCTGACCCGGGAGGGAATATTAACAATGGAGACAGAACTAAGCTTGAGCATTACAGAGATTGCACCTTGGCTGGCCTCGGCAAGGGAGTGCCAAGACAGAGGAGTCTCAATAAGGTACAAGAAATTAGGTAGAGGCCTAACAAGGGCGCCTCCGAACTCTTAGTGCAGATTTTTGAGGCATACAGACCGTACATGGACATGGATCCAGAAGTGCTGGCAAATTCTAAAAGGGTAAATATGACTTTCATTGGCCCAAGTGCTCCTGATGTCCAGAGAAAATTACAAAACATGAATGGGGATTTGCGTATCCCTATATCTCAATCAGTAGAAATTGCTCTTAAGGTGTTTGCTGATCGAGATAAGGGGTTAGAAAAGAGAGAACAATGGAAAATGAAACATCAGGCCAGCCTTTTGGCTGCTGCTTTGACTTAAGTGCATCCAGGCCCATGGCATGGACCGCCCTCAGCTGCTCTGTCCAAGGTAGGACCCCCAGGGCCACAACAAAGAGGGACATCCCACTGGGGGTCTTAATCAATGTGCCTCCTGCAAATAGGAAGGGGTCTGAAAGAGACATTGTCCATATCTTAGAAAGGCCAATGCTGGGAATCTTCCCCTCCCCGTCCACCAGATGTCTGA